CGAAGCGCGTTCGTCGTCCAAAACCCACTAACAAATACTTCACTAGCGAAGGCTTGAAGAAAGGCCGGGTCCACTTGTTTTCAGCTCGGAGCATGATTCACAACTCCGGGACAATCCAAAGCGCTGTTACAAAGCACCTGCTGCATTATCTGCTGGAGTTAGCTCCTGGAATGCTGCTCAATGCGGTTGGAGGCAACCCTTATACCGTGTGTACTGCATACATCTACACCTGTTGAAGGCTTTCGAATCGAAGCAGCACCAGCAAACCTATCTGTTTAGAGCCTTTGGTTACTGAAAACTTCATCCACATAGACCAGAAGTCAGTAGACTCTTGCGACTGCAGGACCTGAATGCCCTGATGTTGGAGCAGTTGCAGCTGAAGCCTTCCCCTAGCCAGGTTACAGGGGTGACAAAGTATTTCGCCACTGACAGAAGGTCGGAGAGCTGCACCAGAGAGGCCTAAGTTCGGGGTCGGGCACGCACGGCTTGTCACTCGACGAATCTCGGGGGAGCTGTGTCATGTGATGCTTTAGGGATATGGGCTGTGCCTCGGCTTCTAAAGAGCCAGGGAGATGCAGTGGGTCTGTAGCTGCGGCCTAGACCTCATCCTGCAGCCCCGAACTAATGGCAAGCCAACCCCAACAGGTCATCGTTACCTCGAGCCAGTCCCAGCTTGCTGCCAACCCGGGCAAGTTGCCACGTTGACCTCCATCGTGTGGAGATAGATGAGAAACCTAGCTGCCCGAGCTGCATCTTTCCGTCCCACGCCCAGCAGCTGAGTTTCAGGGTACCCACAAGACCTCGAGACCTAGAGCTGAAGATACATAAAGCCCCATTGAAGCATAAGCGTTCCCGTGCACAGTGCAGAAGTCCCTAGGCAACTAAAGCATGCGAAGAAACGAGCGAAAGGCCGCACCAAACTCGTCGAACTGCGCCTAGGTTGCGACAGTCCAAGAGATATCGAGAGCTGTTCCAGCTTCGCTTGAGGCTTGGTTGGGGTCAGGTCCTTCGGGATGCAATCACGATTGCCTCTCAGACGCACTCTGTCTGGAGATGTTGTTAGTCTGACAGGGGGCACCTTGTGGGTGATGATCAGGCGCAACCTAAAACGAGACACTTGGTGCAAGCTCAGTTACCAGGACAATGGGCTCCTTTGCCTGCGCCTGCTGTCGGTGCGGGCATGGAATTAAAGTCCAGGCATTTCTGGCTTTGTTTTAGTTGGACATAGTGCTCGGATCGATGTCTCGGGCTTGCTGGGACGAGTGGGGGTTTGCACGTGGCCTTGTGATGCGGTTAGTATCTTTCGGCAGGAGCAGGTACTAAAGGGAAGACATTCCAAGGGCGCGTGATTGAGGTTTGCGAGGGTCCTTGCACAGGCGCTGGAAGCGAGTGAAAAGGCTCACCAGAGACCGAGATGTTGGGTTCCACATGTTTTTCTGGATCTCTAGCAAGCGATTCCCAGTTTCGACCCATCAGAGTGCATCTGCTGAATCTGATGTTTAAACACGCAGCGATTCAACACGACAACATTGACACATACACCGCACACATTGCAACATCGCGCAGGTCTTTGACTGAGATTTCCGACCTTTTTTAGCACCGACTCAGGAAAAGCTATCTCACAAACTGCAGTTGGGGCCCAACTGTAACGCAAAAGGCATGACCTCCAAGAAGTCCCCGAAGAGCATGCGCTGGAAGAAGCTGCTGTGCAGGCCGAGGACCTTCACAAGACTTACCTTGGGTTAGTGGGGAATGGAGGAATGGGGTACAACTAAATAACTACTATTACTACCATTCTTCCGTTCCCTACTAACCAAAGCTGATACAAGCAGTAGCATCAGGTTGCAGCAGGCAAGAAGCGGCGGATGCAGAAGTAGTAGCAATAGCTAAAGCACTGGTGGCGCTGTTAGCCCGAGTAATTGTACCAGTGGTAGGAGCACAGACGGGAGTAACAGTAGTGGGTCTCGCCGTCAAGGTGGAAGTAGTACCTTCTGCTGGCGCTGCTGTTCCTGCTGCTACTGCCGGTATGCACCGGCACCGATAGCAGTAGCAACAGAAGCCGTAGTGGTGGCAGCGGTCGTCGTGGTAGTCGTGGTCGTGGTTGTAGTAGTGATAGTACTTGATTCTCAGCAGCAGTGGTAGTCGTAGTCGCCACGACAGGCCCACAAAACAAGCCATCACATCTCTGCGCCCCACCCCTCGGAGGGCGCCGTAGGTTTTCCCCCCCACGACGAAGAAGACATCTCCACGACCTGCGAAGCAGGTTCTTGGCTTCAGGATTCAAAGGCCTTAACTCTGCTCGGGGTCTACATTGCTGAGAGCAACCCAGGCATCCTAAACAAGGGCCTCCCGCCTTCTTCTAACAACTGCCAAGGGGGTCAATACTCACAGTCTCTCTGCAACAAGGAGAAGCGAACGTAAAAAATTCGGCCGCTGCTGCTTTTTGTGTCAACTCTCGGCCCTTTGGTGCTTTATTCAAGCAGGCGCTGCATCATGCCTTGCACGTACGCAATGAACAATGAAACCGTTAAGAAATCCACAAGCTGGCATGCGAAAAGCACATACCAGAGACCTGAAAACCCTAAGACTGTTGCATCCATGCCTCTTCGCTGCCGGGTGCCCCTAAAAGATCAAACCAAGAAAGTCTACTGCCCAAACCAAAGCCCTCTGCACCCCGAACCCATCAGTTCGACCGTGAGTTGTGTAGCCCGGGGCCAAGCCATTCCCTCAAAGTTCAAGCTCCTTGTAGGCCCAAAGCCGGATCCTGTGCCTACAAGGGCAAGAATTCCTACACTTGCAGAGCCCAGTTTTGCCACAAGTTGCTGCGCTATTCGCCTTGTTTCTGTCTGTGGCTGCCGTAGCTGCTCATCTTTAGGTTGTGGCAACTTATCTCTTTGCCGGCTTTCCTAGCTCGATCAACACAGACAGAATATTGAACGTAAACCTGGCCGAAGAGCAAATGTCGCCACAACAGAGCAACACACTGACTGGTTGACACGTGTGGTGAAGCGGCTCACGGCAAATGCCGTTTCGCTCGAGTGGTACGTACTGAAACCATGCCCCATGCAGTCGGATGAAAAACAGCCATCATGGATCGTGGTAGCCACGGCAGTCTCATATCTATGTCTGTGTGGGGGGATTTCCCGAAAAAGGGGGCCCTAATTTAGCACCCTAAATAGTAGCATCCTTCTTGTAAGGACCTCCAAGCAAGGTACTCCTTATTTTCGGAAACTCTCATGTAGTCGATGGAATCCGAATCAATAACCCTAAACCCTCAACCCCTAAACCCTAAAAAGTTATTCAATCAAAATGGACCCGGGCTCCACCGGGCCTTCCTCGATGTCATCCACGACGCGCACGAGGCGCTCTGACAAGCCACCGCCCTCATCTCGGAGCCTTGTGCCAGGCTCCTTTTGGGGCCTTAAGAATTAGAATAAGGCTTTGGGGCCCATTGTACTTTGATCATAATATATCATAATAAGGAACCCCCCCCCCCCCCCCCCGAAATAGTATTGATAATTATTCAGGCTCCTATATTACAGGCTGGGCTGGGCTCGGTTTGGAGTTCGGGGATCCTTGCGACAGCTACACACCTACACTTCTGTGCAAGGGTTTCTTTACCCCACGCAGAATCGGAATCCGAGATGGCCACCCGCACAGATGCGAGGCGGCGAGAGCAGAACCTTTGAACTCTTCAGCAGATTTCCATCACAGAATTCTGGTCCGAACACGACATCACCCAAACCTGAAAGCAGCCCTAAGGCTTCGCCAGCCAGCAACCACCAACTACAAACCAACGCTCCCTCACCCACCACAAACCAACCACCGACCACCACCAGCAGCAGCACCACCACTGGCACCCCCATCATAATAGATCATAATCACCACCCTAAACTCTGAGACCCCAAACCAAAAACCCTGAATGGTCTTCTGCCTGCGATCTGCCAAGGTGCGTAAACATCGCACGCTTCTCTGCTCGGCTCTCGCATCATTGCAAACAGGGGCTCTACCAACCATGAACTAGGGATTGGGGTGTAGGGTTTAAGGGTTTAGGTGCATGTACACTTCGTAGACTTTGAGCTTTGTAGGATTCAGGGTGTCAGGCTCTAGGGTTCTCGGGCTCTGTTATATTTCTGAAGCTCGCTCGTCAAAGCAGCCTGAGATGTCGAAGTATGCAAACATGAAGTCACGCACACAAGAGCATAGCGTTGAAACGATGGAAGCCCATCTCAAGACCATGGCTTCAAGACTGTCCGAGCCACGTGGGGGAGGTGGGCCAACATGCATGGGGTCTAGCCTATTCAATTCTGTGATGCTGTGGTTTCGGTGATATAGTCTATATTTAAACTATACGAGGAAAAGGTCAAGCCGTGACCTTTCCACTCTTAAACTTCTGAGTAATGCAAGGATTTGCAGCGCCCCTCGGCTTTCCACTTCAGGAGGAAACCAGGCCATGTGCCAAAAATTTACAAGCAGCTCAGCATATCTTGCTAGCCATCGAGGCCCGCATGAGGGTAAAGTAAGCAGAGGAATCTGGAAGCAACGACTATGGCGGGGGGGGGGCAGGGGCTGTAACGATTAGAAAAACTCGCCTTTTTGGCAGTCGTATAACACGAAGAATGAAACAAGCAACACCACGGGACAGGGTTGACACTTATCCCTGTTTCTCTATCGATTAGACTCGTGGGACCTATGAGCTTCCCGGGATCTTGGTTTCAGGTCTTCCAATCTACTTGTTAGGCATTTCGGCGCTCACACTCGGACAAGCCAGGCGAGGCTGGGGTTAGGGTTTAGGCTTGCCGTGATACAAGAGCTCTGGGTCGGGCTACACCTCCAACACGTCGTTCCGCCAGTTCAGGTAATGTTCGAAAGGCAAGCCAATTCATTCCCATTCCAACCCTAAATCCTGAACACGACTACCCTTTCTGAATAAACCCGAAATAAACATGTACCCTAAACCCCAAACCTCAAACTACCTGCAGGAAGTCTCGGGATCCAGCGCTCCAGTTGAGACAGCTCCGGAGTCCCCTGGGAGGAGGAGGGTCCTGGGCCAAATCCTCGGATGCTGAGGCTAACAAGGGGCCTTAATAATTAGAATAGGGTTTTGTGGCACATGATACTATAGCTATAAGAAGGAACCCCCAAAATACTGTAGGTACTTAGTAAGGCCCCTATAGGAGGAGCCGGACCCTCGAACCGAAGACCTTCGGGACGTCGTGCCGGCCGTTTGGGAGTTTCCGAAAATACGGGACCCTGATTATGGTACCCCAAATACAAGCATCCTTATTACAAGGACCTCAAAATAAGGTACCCCTGATTTTCGGAAACTCCCGTTTGGCTTTGGGCACTTTGGCCATGTTCCTGTGTTTTGTGCTGCGGGGGTTCCACGGAATGCTTTTTTCAAGGGTCTGTGATCTGTGCTGTCCGTTCATGCGTGCGAGCTTGATGCTGCTTCCAAAGCTGCGACTGCACCCACAAACAAAACAACAACAAGTAGGGTCCTAATGTACGGGATATGATCCGAAACGCATCACATTTCAGCAAATGCAGATGCGTGTCAAGTTCAGCACACGGCTGTCAAGGTTGTCCTGCAGGTACGAAAACATGAGGTTGCAATGGCTACTTCTCACGATGCACGTCTCTCCCTCACATTGCCACCCTGTATCCTGCAGTGCTGGGAAGTGCACTCTCAGCCCAGAAAGGGCATAACGAGCAAAGACCTAAGCATCCTACCTTGCAAGCGCTCGACCATCCAGGCTACAAGCGTTCTCAACGGCCCTGAACCCGACAAGCAGCCCCACCAAGAAACACATAAGAGTTTCACCCTAACTCAAGCTGAGACCTCTATGCTGCATGGCAAGGTCGTTCTCAGGGGCCCTCGCGCGCCTTGAGTAGGCGATCAAGGCTGCATTTATCCTGGTAGCACACGAGAGAAGAATTCTTCCAAGCATACACAATCCGAGGACCTCTTCGGAAGAGAAGAAAAAGGCCGTAACCGCCGAAGACCAAAGGTGAGATTCCAGTTCCAAAGGCTGCGGATGCTTCCAAGTCCGCACGCTGCCCCACCAAACCGATTCGAAAGCCACGCTAAACCCAAACCCATCAAAGATCCAACCACCCTGTAGGCCGCCTTATGCTGTGAAACTCGGAGCAGCTGCCGCTGCCTCCACGAGTGCCCACTGCGGTGCATCGGCGAGGCGGTTGAAGGCCGCTCGGGCAAGCCATGCCTCGTCACTCACAGGCCCAGAGGCCTTTGGGGTGAAGGTGTTCAGTTCCTGCCGTGACGAATCCTACTGCTGAGGCCAAGAGCAATCACGGTCGTCATCAGCAGCATCATCACGAGTATTCTCGCCGTCACCACGTTTTATCGCCGCTCTTATCACAGACATTGTCTTGTGAGCCTGGCAGGGGACGACGACGACGTCCACGACCGCCACCACCAGCACCACCCCCCGAGTTAGACTGGCCGGAAACTCCTACCACCCTGTCCTGTGAGTCCTTTGCAACGGAAACGTGGTTTTTGCAAAATCATCTATCAGAACGTGGTGAAACGCGCTGATTTCTATAGGCATTGGCAAGTGTTGGCCTCGTCGCTGTCATCGCTCACCTGCATGGCACGTTCCGGAAGGTGCCGCAGGACTGAACAAAGCAACACCGCTGTCGAATACCAAACTCTGAACTCGGAAGAATCCTCTCCCATCCGGCACAAAGCCACTTTCCGCACCCGAGAGATAGCCGCCAACCGTAATTCTCTTCCACCTTCCGCCCATGCTCTACACCCCATCCTGCTAGATTTCCCCAACAAAAGCTGGCATGAAGTTCTGGCATCCGTGAACTCCACCCACTCCACCCCACCAATCCTTCCACGCCAGATGCCCAAGCCTCAAATCATCATCAGACCAAGTGCCCAGGCCCAAACAATTTGCTGGGGCGGACGTGACATGTACAAGTGCCGACTTAGGACGACCACCACCAAGGCAACAGCGCCATGTCGGGGCCTTATCAATTAAAATGGGTTTGCGGGTTCCTTGTTGTAACTACAGAATGATATACCCCCAAACCCTATTCTAAGGCCACTGCATCATGCTTGGGGAAGATGACTGGGAACTGCTTCAGGAAGCTTTGGCAGGCGAAATTGGGCTGGAAGGCCCGGGTGAACTTCACTGGACAAGAAAGTTAACTTCAACCGTAACCACCGAACAAGTCCAGCCTAAAACCGTGACACCAAAACACATCATTAAGTCTGTGCGTCAACAAGTCAACCCAGGTTCCATGCGCACCCTGAACCCGAAATCTACAGACAGCAAGACACTAATATAAAACCTTATAACACAATAAAACATCCCTGACGGCACCCTTGAACACAGCCTAAAAAGGGCTACTTTAAAGGATGCCTGCAGCCACCTTGCCTGAGCATCCGCCCCGCCCTCCGCACGCCACCGCAAAGTCTCGGCCAGGGGCCGACGGGCCGCCTCGGCGTCCGCGGAAGCACCTGGTTCAGGGTTTCGGCGCTCACACTCGTTCAGGGTTTAGGGTTTAGGGACGGGAGCTTGAGCTAAGCATTCTTGTAGGGGTCTTTAGGGATCAACGGGGTTCTGAAAGGCGTTTTTGGGACATTCCATGAAGCTCCCTCCCCTTTTCTTCAACAAGGAGGCTCCAAGGCTGAAGACTTTCGCTCCGTGCGCCAAGCACTGAAGTTGCGCAGCATCATGCGACGCTGTTAAACAACACGCTGCATGAAATGAAATCGCCGTACGATCAAACCCTTCCTCTCGCCCTAAACCCCTTTGAACCCAGACTCTCACCCAAAAGCCCAAAAATCGAAACCCTAAACCCCAAGCCCTACACCGTTTTTTTGAGCAGGCACTGCAATGCACTAAGCCCTGAATCCCCTCGGCCAAGCTTCAAACGCAAGCACCGATGGCTGAGTGGGCGAAGCCTGTTGCACTGCCTGAAAGCCTAAAACCTAGAACCCCTAGAACCCCTAAAAACCCTTAAAAAACACTAAAAAACACTAAAAAACCTTCAAACCGCTAAAACCGCTAAAACCCCTAAAACCCCTAGAACCCCTAAAAGACCCTAAAAAAACCCTAAAAAAACCTAAAACCCCTAAAACCCCTAGAACCCCTAAACCCCCCAGGGCACCAACCCTGCCGGGCCGCTCAGCAGCTCCACCACCCTCCGGCCTGGTTTGTCTGAGACCAAGTCGGAGCAAAGGGCACTTAGAGGAAGGCTTCAGGTAATGAGACTATGGAAGTCGGAAGAAGTATAGTAGAATTGGGGTTTGAGGTATATTTTCAAAGGACTAGAAAGGAACACTACTACAAATGAGTCGAACGTCGTAATTAACAGCAACGGCAACTACAACGAAGAACAACACAGTAGGTGGCTAAGCTCATGGTGGGCTGTGGTTGATGATCTGCTACTTCGTAGCAAGGGTCTGCACTGAAGGGTTCAGTTTACGGAACCTCTGCATTCGGGTCTGCCAAAACCAGTTTCTGTGGGTTAGGGTTTAGGGTTTAGGGTTTAGGGTTTAGGGTTTAGGGACCATGACGCTGAACTGCAGAAGGACCCCAACTCAGTGCCAGTGATTGCCTCCGCAGTTGGTGATTGGCTGCCCTGCGGTGCTGCGGCGGCAAACCGAGGACAGCCACCTCGGTGAGTTTTCTCCAAAACTTCCGGTGGAGGGTGTAGGGACGTTGGGGCCCGACGTTTTTCGTCCACGTCAAGATAGACATGACAGGCCGCAGCCGTGGGGTCGAGACCCTCCCACACACAGAGGGGCTGGGGGCAGGTTCCCGACAGAGACGTGGGCCATCCTGGGCCCCGACGTGGGCCTCTTGTCTCGAAGCTCTTTGAAACTCTGCCTGTTCAACGCCTCATGCTGCAAATCCTCGGAGCGAGAAAAGCTCACAATCCAAGCAGCTAAGGAAAGCGAAGGAAAGCCGAACAAAAACCGGCCCCGATGTGCCACCGAGGCACAGGGCAAGAGCCAGCAAGAGCAGATTTCCTCGGCTTGAGCTTGGGCTCTTGACGCACATCCCTCGTAGGTCGCTGCGACAGCTTTCAACAACGTCCGCCACCCAAACTCTTCATACTCTCGCCTGAGGTGGGGGAGGTGGGCGGCAAAGCACCCACCTGAGTATTGTGCCAAAAGTTCAGGGTTCAGGGCTTTTTGGGACACCCTGGTGGCGGGCACACCACATGTACAGCGCTGTGCAGAGTGGTCGGCCAAGGGCCCGCAAAACCTTCGCTCTGCCCGAAGCACCTGAAACCGAAATCATATCGCCTCAACCCGCAGTGCAAAGACTTCAAACACTTCGCCTGCGCCTTCAGGACTCAGGCCCAGCTTCTGGCGTGGCTCTTCGCCTTGGCGCCCGCCGAGGTCACCCAGGCCTTCAGCGCCCTAGCTTGCTCTGAACTCAAACTGCGAGCTGGTGCCATTCAAAGGGCCTCACTCAAATTTGTCGCACGTTGCACTATGCTATTTTACATTACGTCCCATGCCATTGCATTCCATTCCATTTTATACTGGTTCGTATTGTATTATACCATCTTATATCAAGTCACATCTAGCATAGTACAGCATGGCATCATACAGTCGATTATATTATACCATTGTAGAGTCTAGTATATATAGTATAATGTAGTATAATATAGGGTAGTATGGTTCTAGTCATAGTAAAAGTATACAGTCTGTAATACGAGATTGATAACGTTACCATATATATATATATACATATACACAGAAAACTATCTGCATAACATTAGTATGATGCACAAATATGATTTAATATAAACTAGCCGGTTGCCCTCGGTGTTCAAGAAAGCTCTACCACAGGCGCACAAACCCCAAGCGAGACGCCTCCAGCAAACGTGCCGCTTTCCTGAGCTTGGGCGGTGCAGCAACATGCATGCTCTATTGTTTTGCATTGCGAAGGTCGATTTGCTGGAAACTTTGGCAGGTAGGCCTTGGCCAACGTGCAACATGTTGTAATCTACAGTCGAAAACCTCTGCCGAGTGTCGATGGCAAGCCCTGCCGCAACATCGAGGTTGCAGCTCCTGAACAGGCCTGCGAGAGCTCTTTCGCAGTCGCTTGCCGTGCTCCATTCGAGCGGCGAAGCACGCTCCTGTAGGCGGCTTCGGCACCTCGGAAATCCCCAAGCCGCCGTAGGACTGTGCCACGGCGTAGTGCTGCCGCGGCAAAGTTTGGTGCCAAGCTTGTGGCTGCTGAGAACTCCTCGGCTGCTTGGCGGTCCCGGCCAAGCTTCTGCAAAGCATCTCCGAGGGCACAGTGCGCATGTGGCCGGAGGCCTTCCGGAAGCGAAGATGGATCCTCCAAAACTCCTCGCCAGGCCGCGGCCGCAGCCTGCCAGCGGCCAGCCTCGGACAGAGCCAGAGCCTCTTGGAAGCCGTGTTGCGCTCGGCGCTGCACCCGCTGGACGGGTCTGCTGGGAAGGTCCTGGCACTGAAAAAGGACTGGGACTCGCCACCCAGACCTCGGACTCGCTGGCACCGCAGCACCACTGCAGCAGACTGCCGCCAGCAGCACGTGTCGCAACGATATGTGGAGCCCATGGCGACAGCACATCAACGTCACCTGACCAGGCCTTGAAGCAGTAGAGTGCCCTAGAACACATGGTCTCCGACTGCCCTTGCGCACGTCTTCCTCCATTTTCCCTGCTGAGCAAAGTAAAAACCATTCCCTTGCTTCATCTGCCGGAGAACTGCAGGGTTAAGAAGTAGGCTTCCGGTGCAAAGCTTCGAGTTTCTATCGTGTGGAGCATGGCAAAGTCCAAGTGAGGACTCGAGCATGGCAAGCAAAGGCTATGAGTCAAAGCCCCTTCGAACGACTAAGACTCCCAGGGCATTGCAAAATCAGGGAATTACATGGCTCCCTTCGCGTTTGCCCGAATCCTTTGTTCGATGTCGCGTTCAAGGTTCTCAGCTGTGAAACAAGAAGGCTTGAGTCGTTGGGATGCTCACTTTGGACGTCAACCTGCCAGGACCAACCATCAAGCTTCCCTCTTTCCAAGTTGTACAGGCTGCGATGCGGTGACATTTGCTGGATCGTCGAGCTTTTGCCACTAGACAACTTCTAAACCTGTTGCGCGCGTTGGCCTGCCCACTCAAGTCTCGAGTTAGGTTAGGTCTCTCCTTTACTTGGCGTCCCCTGGCCTGAAATTCACAGCACTGGCACTGGCTGTGGCTGCAGGGGCTGGGGCCAATCTCAGCCCACCCTACCTAGATTGCCCTAAACGGTTGTGGTAGCCTTGCTTCTGGACAGGTCTTCGAACCGTTCCATGTCGGCTCCCACATCCCGGCATCCCCGCCGGCGCCTCCAACCCTCTGCGGTGACCACTCGAAGATGCCACTGGCCCAAGCCTCGTGCAGTTCACCCGAAGCCATCCGAAACCCCACTCCTGTACGAGAACGACTCCCTGGAGGCTATGCCCCGTTTGCATCAACCACGCCTTTGTCATCTTGCCCCAAACGAGCCTCAAACACGATGCCGGCACCCCGAGCCTAGTCGACAAGCCTTAACTGCTAACTCCTCGTACCCCAGGCCTGGTAGTCTTCAGATGGTTGTGGCGGCGAAAAACGCCAAGTTTTCTTGTCGATGTGCATCTGGTAAAAGACGCGCCCGGACACGGCTGGATACCTTTGTTCAGGCTTCGAGGTTTCCACCGCAGGTGGTTCGGGCTCACGGGGTTCGACGGCTTACCACGGCATTTTTGTCACGAAGACTTACGACACCTTGTCTCGAAATCGTTGAAATATGACGTGCAGAGAATATGTACTTACATCTGACATCGATGATATAGATACGACATTCGGCTAAACCCGTTGGATATGTTGGATTTGTGCACCAAGCCACATACCAATCCCAAGCTTCATTAACCTGCCACTCCTGCCCCTACACCCTGTAAGACTACATCCGACACATGGCAGAACTGCAGAAAGCTAAACTCAAGAAGTTCGGATTCCTGCGCTGTGTAAAGAGCCTGCCCTTCCCAGATTAATTTTGCGCTTGGCTCTGCGCAACTTGGTGTCTGCAACATGTCCAAATCACGACAATGTCCCTACAAGTGCCAAAGCAGGCATACAGGCTTCCAAGCACGAATCACAGCTCTGGTCTTCCCAAGTCACGAGCCAAAACAAAACATACAAACAATCCAACAGCTCAAGCCCGCTACCCTTCGGCTTATCTTCGGACCACCTTCGGAACCTCGACCGAACTGAAAAGGTCTGGTATTGAGCTGTGTTGGAGGTGGGTCCGGTGCTATTCTGGGCCAAGGTTGCCACTCACGGCCCCCCATCTCATCAGACTTCATGACATAGCCCTCCTGAGACGTGAAACTGGGGCTGGGCTGCACCAGAGCGCAATACCCTTGGACCCCAGATCTGGTAATGCCTCGAGGCTCCTCCCCAAGACTTGTTGCTCCTGCGACCCCGAATCCTGGCCCAAAGATCCTCATTGTGATACATTGTGATTCCGTATCCAACCTCCAAAAGACCTGCACTGCTGCCACCGCCACCATTACCATCATCAACTTCATCGTCATTACCCGAAGACCTCCTTCCATGATCAAAACTGGAACCGCATCGAACCTGCATCTTGGGCATTCAAAGTCCATCTTGGCACCTGAATACTGTACTCAGGCGAGGCCAGGGGGCTCCGCTGTGCCATTTTCCTTGATGCGACAGACGCATGACGCCAGCGTCCAGGTCGATGGCAAAGCCTAGGATGTCACCCACCTTCCACGGCTCAACTTGCACCTTGTCAGGGTCATGCGTTGCCTGACCTCCTCCATAGCACTGCTCTTTCCGGGGTTTAGGTTTGAGGGTTTACGGACTGCCTCTTCTATATTAAGCAAGAAGCACCTGAATTGCGCAGCCCTCTGGAAGCATGCCCCCGGCCTTTTGTTTCCGACCTGCCTTCCAGTTCAGCAGGCGGTCTCCATCGAAGGCGTAGCCATGCTCGTCGTCCCCAACACCATTCCCGTCGTGCGGCCCTTCTTCAAAGCCAGTTGACAGCCAACCGAATTGAGGACAACCGGTGTCGGTGAACAGCTGAACTTCATGATAAAACTTCCCGCTGCTGCGAGCAGCATCCTTGGCCCCAGCAGTCAACCAAAGCCCGATTGAAGCATCCTCTTCAATCTCCACCGGGCGAATGCCGCGCAGTCCAAGCAAGGAAGGCCTCCCCTGAAGCTCACGACCAGATCGCCAGTCCTCACAACACATATGCCATACACAGCGTGGAAGACACAGCAAGAGTCACCACCACTGTCACCAGTCCATCTCCACCACCAAGCATCACCAGTACCATCAGTGCCCTCACCAGCACCATCACTACCATCGTGCTTAACGGCAGGGAGCATGATGAAAGCGAGAAGGGCCTTAGGGAACCACATTCGACTTGTGGGCATGCAGGCCTGCGGTGCCCACTCGACAACTCCCGCCGCCCATTCTTCATAGTCATCTCCTGCAAGCATCGCGCGTCCGTCCCCTCTAAGCAGTAGAAGAGGGAGCAGCCCCGGCACTCTAGTGTACCTGGAACAGTGGGGTAATGATGTCGAGGCGCTCCGTGAATCTACTTCGGCAACCAGTTTTCGTCAGTTTTCCAGCAGCTCGCCATGCCAAAGTGGACGTTATCCGTTTTACTCAATCCAAACCCTGAAACCTGAACTCGAATCTCCTGGCGGCATGTGTAGCCAATTCGTGCGCCCCAGATACAGCCGAAATGGGCCAAGCGTGGAGACCGCTGGGTGCCTCTGTATTTTGCATCTTTTGGCACAACATTGGACTCACAAAAAGCATGAAATTTCGCCTCTGAAAACTCTTCCTCTTTGCACGAGACATCTGCATTTCGCAATGCTGCCAAGCCTTGCCAGGCTACCGGGTAGAGTCTCGAAGACAACCCCGTAGCAACCACCTCCCAAGCCCGAACAAAACTCGCCCCATCCATTACAAAGCATGCCTCTCAATCTTAGCATCGCCACTTAGTCTCTCTCTTTGCTTTGCTTTGCTCCGGGGTGTGGATCGTGGGCAGTCCCCACGACCCGCGCGTCAGCGCGACCCCATCCATCCTTTTGAACAGACGGGCTTGGCTGTACATGGAGCATGGTTTCTGTGGGAGTGGCTGGTGCCCATGTTTTCCCCCGGAACACACAACCATAACCATGCACAGAAGTAGCTAGTTAGTCTCTCTCTCTCTCTCTCTCTCTTTCTCTGCCGTGGCAAGGGCACGAAACCGCAGCCCCTTTAGTTTGGGAATCTTTATGTATCCTGAAGTCCCCCGTCAGGCCAGGCGCAGTTTGCGGCCCTTCGGATCGAACACGATCTTCCCAGAGTCAACATCCTGGAAAAACCGACTGGATCTACGGAGGTTAGGCCCGGCAAAGGTTTAGGGCATAGGCCGGTATAGGGCTTCGACTCACACACCCTCTCCCTCACAGGCTGGCATGGCTTAGTGGCTTCAGGATTTAGGGCTTGGCTCGGTCTGGTAGCTCCGGGCATCTCACGGCCCGATCGCCTTTAACTCTGCGGTCTTCCCAATTATGGGAGGACGCACTTCTGTTGATTCATGGTCGTCTCCAGGGGCATGCTCTGCTCAAGTTCTCCAAGCCGTCTTTCTGCACACAAACCGCAGAAATCGCAAACGGTCTAAGTGGCCGGCAAAAGCAAGTCTCCGTTGCAAGGCTCACTACCAAGAAAAACAGTGCACCTCACCTGCATGTCACCATGCCCATCACTTCGCGAAGTGTCGCCAAGAAACATTTTGGGATAAGGAAGGATCGCCTCGGAAACCCCACACCTTCGAGCTTGCCTGCCTAGAAGCCTATGTACGTGTACCAAAGCACAGCAAGACAGCCTCCACCCGCTTCCCGCGCCCTCCTCTGTACCAGTAGGATCGGCAGGAGACAGGTTCAGGTGAAGCAACGCCGGCGGAAACCACCACTGTTGACCATCTGACCTTCAATCGCTACAATGCGTGAGCTGTTGCATCGCTCAGTGCAACTGCAAGGCTTGCCCAAAAAGTGAGAACTACAGAATCTAGACAACAGCAAGAGCAGTGATAAGGCGCCATATGCAGATACTAGCAGATACCATATTCATGGCTATGTCAAAGGTTCCAGGGTTCCAGGTGGAAAATGTTACCAAGTCCCACGCATCTCCAGCTGAAAGCCATCGCTGTCTTTCGTCAGGTATTTTCCTCGCGGTCACGGAATGCCCATGTCCGTTCACACCGACGAAAAACGGCCCCAACAAAGACTGCTGTAGCTTCTTTACTCGCAGCGTGTCCACCAAGGCCTGCTTTGGCAACGATGCTTGAGGCACCGCCTCGCGTACGACTAAATTCTGTATTATGGTATACGATACAGAAGGTATACTCTACTATATTCTGTCATATTAGCTTGACTGTGCTATACCTTACTATACCTTACCACATTATCCCACACCATACTATACTACTCGACCATGCTCTCTTGTACTCCTACGCGAGTTTGTCGTTGCATTTCGCGTTTTTTATGCTTCCCCCATCTTCACACACGCAACGACTGGGGTCGCTGCAAAGTCCTTGCATTTGCCGTTTCCGCAAGAGCACACCCGTCCCCCAAGAGTGAACAACTAGTTTGAAAGCCGGCGTGCTGCGGTTCGTTTTTGCAGCCTTCTGCAACTGCACACCTCCGGGGACAGGTGAAGAACGGACCCCGACATACATGCACGTATGCCTGCATGTTGCGGGTCGTTTTTGCAGCCTTCTGCAAGTGCACACCTCCGGGGACAGGTGAAAGCGGACCCGGAGATGCATGCACTTATACCTGCGTGCTGCTGTTCGTTTTTGCAGCCTTCTGCAAGTGCACACCTCCGGGGACAGGTGAAGAACGGACCCTGAGATGCATGCGCTTAGACCTGCGTGCTGCGGTTCGGTTTCTGCAACTGCACACCTCAGGGGAGAGGTGAGGAACGGAACCTGAGATGCATGATCTTATACCTGTGTGCTGCTGTTCGTTTTTGCAGCCTTCTGCAAGTGCACACCTCCGGGGACAAGTGAAGAACGGACCCTGGGATGCATGCACTTATACCTGCGTGCTGCTGTTCGTTTTTGCAGCCTTCTGCAAGTGCACACCTCCGGGGACAGGTGAAAGCGGACCCCGAGATGCATGCACGTATGCCTTCTGCAACCGCACACCCCGGGGGACCGGTGAAGAACGGACCCTGAGATGCATGATCTTATACCTGCGTGCTGCGGCTCGTTTTTTGCAGCCTTCTGCAAGGGCACACAACTGGGGACAAGTGAAGAACGGACCCCGAGATGCATGTACTTGACCCGCGTGCTGCTGTTGGTATTTGCAGCCTTCTGCTGGCTCGGGAGCCTGGCAGAGGTCTAAAATTGTGTGGTGGGTGGCGCAATTCGCGTAAGCTGCGCGTAAGCAGTGCGTAAGCGGCGCCCTCCGTTAGAGCCCAGCAGGAGGAGTGGCAGTGACGCAGTGACAGTCGCAGTGGTAGCAGTGGCAATGGCAGCGGCAGTGGTCGTGGGCGTGGTGGCAGCAAGCAGCAGCAGGAGGAGGAAGAGCAGCAGAAGAGTAATACCAGTGCTTTGAAAGCAGGTTTAGGCTTGATGTCCAAAGCCTCAAGGGCGATTTAAGAGCCATTCCCAATTTCACAAGCATGCCTACGAGACACATCAGTCATATCGGTGGCATCTTAGCGCATCAAACCCGGTCGATCCCCATGTAGACGCTCGATTTCACAAACAGGCGCTCAAAAAACACCTCAGACATCAGTGGCATCACAGCAAACACCAAATCAAAACCAGCCATTTCCGATGTAGACGCTCGATTTTGCAAGCAGCCGCTCGAGAAACACATCAGGGGCATCACAACAAACAGCACATCAAAAGCAGCCATTCCCCATGTAGACACTCGATTTTGCCAGCAGCCGCTCAAGACACACATGAGTGGCTTCACAGCAAACAGCGCACCAAAACTAGCCATTCCCCATGTAAACGCTCGATTTTGCAAGCAGCCACTCAAGGACCACCTCAGACTTCAGTGGCATCGCAGCAAAGAGCAAGCAAAGCCAGCCTTTCTAGTTTACCAGCATGTCCCAGGATCCCGATTGACGCGCTTTAGCAGAATCCCCAACTGCACACTGGACCTGGGACGACTTAGGGCCTGGACCCTGCAGCAAACAAACACCGCAGATCATCATCTTGAAAGCCTTTCCCCCATGCGCACACCGAAACGCAACGACCCCGCGACAAAGCTTCCCCCGAAGGTCTGGCGCTGCCACGAACGAAACGCAATGACTTTCCCAACTGAGAGTACTAAATTACAAATCATATTGGATGCTTACTATATACGATACACCAGGTACCAGATACTAGGTAGAGATGTACTGCACAGCACCGAACCATGTTGCACTCTGCTTAACACGATTTTAACTATGATGTGCGTTTCCTACACTACCTAACCTGCACGAAGCCTTATTCTGATTCTGCTGCTATTACCAGCACCAGTGAATTCCAATATGCTACTGTGACTCATACGAGCGCTGGTAGGGATACTCATAGACAATACCAGATACCAATGCTAGACTAAAAACACAAATGCGAATGTGAATACGAAAATAGTACTACCGCTCATGCTGCCATCAAAAGCTGTATAACACTGCATTATAGTATCCTTTTTAGCCATCCAGTTTCCGACTCTGGACTACTATACTACTATCCTAGTCTATTGTTTGATATTCTAAACAGCTCCATACTACTTTCTGCTACCATTCTACAGGTACCAGTCTATTCTACAGCACGATGTGCTGTGCTCCTCCAGTATCAAATAGACTATGCTGTACCACACTACACTTTGCCACATTTCATCATCGGTCATTACAGCACAGTACTTTTCTTACAGAGCAATACGGTTCAGCATAATAGCCAATTACAGTACAGCACATCGTGCCATCTGCCATAAGCATGTATCGCAACGTCGACCTTATCTCGTATCCCACCACTACACGGAGGATGTCCTTCTTGGCCCAAGCACTCTTCCATGCCACTGGCCCAGCCACAGCCGCTATCTTCTGCAACACGTTTTGCCACCCTGACGCCGACTTTCTTGATCCGGATTAAGCTGCCCACCGCTATGTCCGTAGATATGTCCACCTTATCAAGCGACGCACATGCGAAAGGGCATGCTTTGCTGCCCAAAACTGTTCAGGGAGATCGGCGAGGATTTCGGGTAGATCATCTCTAGCAACGGCTCTTCCAAAATGAACGACAACAGAACTAGTCTCAGAGAAGAGAATCAAATCAGGCATGCCAGGGCTGATAAATGAACTAAGTAAACCATCGGGCCCAGGTTAAGCCTTATCAGCATGCTGACGCAGCCGCTTGGCGGTAGCTGCACAAGCGCATCTCGCCCACGTCCAGGTCCACAGCAAGACCTAGGAGATCTCCTGAACGCATAGGGCATGGGACAGACAACGAGAACAACCTCATGATGATGAGTATGGCCGTTAAACGAGGTGAGCGACACTTGCCGTACGAATGCTCATAAGCTGCTAGTAACGGTATTATAAAAGAATTGCCGCAGCAGTTAGGGGCCAAGGGGGACAACAACTTTCACACGCGGCTCATGGCTGGCGGCCTGGCCTAGGGTTGACGCACAGTGTTACGACCATTTGTCATTGACATACTCTAACACATGTGATCCACGGCATCGCAGCGGTGAGGTGAGGTGGTCAACATGAAAAAGCTTCTGAAATCAGAAAAGTCATCAATGTGGGCCTCGGGAGGTACATCACTCAGATTACCCCTGCATGCTGCAGTACCTCAGCTCTTGATCAAATCATGGCGCGCATTACTATACCGGCGACCGCCACTCTTCCTAACACTGCTATCTCATGTTTCTTTGTAACTGTGCATTGTATCCCTATCGCTACAACCACCATCACTAGCACGATTTCTACGACATTCTACGACTTGATACCCGTAGCACGAGCACGAGCGCCAACATCACCACCACCACCACCACCACCTCCACCACCACCACCACCACCACCACCACTACCCCGCCGGAGCACCAACACCATGATCATCACATATCATCAGCGGTAACGACTATAACGGGCGCAATGCGATGGTTGGCACTGTTGACTGCGGTAGGATATGTTTCTCTGCAACAAGAACGCCAGACAGGCGTACATGGTACGATATGATACGTGTGAAGACAACAGGAGCGACCATCGGCAAATCTTTATTGCGAGGTTATGGCTGGAACCCAGGATGTGTCCTTGGCTCCATGGCTCCAAGCTTGCCTCAGGGCATCTTACAATGGTCTACAGCAACTCCTGCATTCACCTCCTGTGGTTCCAACTGTCTCTTCGTGCATATGTGGGACAAGATTGCCCGGACACCTTCCAAAGTTCAGAAGCTGCTTGGCCTGTTGTGCATTTGTCGCTTACTGCAGGATCCCCAGACGCACTCCACGTACCCAGTCAACTATCGTGACTGCATTTTACGGCTGATCACGATTCTCACATTACCCTTTGCTGGCGGGAGAAATTGACTGAACAGAGCTCGCGCTGCCTGCGACCTCTCGCCGGCATTCCACTTCATCATCCGCCACCCCTCGAAGGCAAAGCTCTGTGGATCGTCTCCGATGGCACCACCATCAAAAGATTCCGTGGCCCAGCCAACCCGAGGACTCTCTGGGCGGCTCAGCAGGCGCAGCTCATAGTAGAACTTCCCGGAAGCTCGGGAGAGCTCCGGGAGGCCGGCTACGAAGAAGTCGCTGATGGATAGTGGGACTTGGACTTGCTCGCCGATGGCCTCGAGCCCTAGAAGCCGCGGCCTCCGCCCACTCAGCTGCATCTCAAAGCCCCAGCTGCGGTCCCCAAACGTAGCCTGGCGAAAGCTTTTCACAATCTGCTTAAACCTAAAGGTCGTCGTGCGTGCCAAGCGTTCCACACATCAACTTGCAAATAAGACCAACTTATACTATCTCTCCACACACACAGACGCACACATGTCTATATATATTTATATATATATATATATATATATCAAGTATATATATATATATATACATAGATTTATGCATAATAATCTATAGATATATATACGCATGTATGTATATATCTGTACTTGCACGCGCCCAACTTCAGCAAGGTCGCCTCGCCGGCCCATTCTCCGACTCCGGAGGCCCAGGGCTCGTAGCCCTCTTTGGGGCCGTCTTTCGGCGGTCCGAAGATCCAGGTCTGGCTCGATCCCAAGGCTCCCCAGAAGTCTAAGGTAATGTAGGCAAGGTAACACAGGGGCCGTAATAACTACCTATGCTATTTTGGGGGGGTTCCTTATTATAATTATAGTATAAGGGGCCCCCCAAAACCCTATTCGAACTATTTAGGCCTCCATATTGCGGTTCGCTAGGATTTTCTAGGACGAACTTACAAAGCGTGGGGTTGAGAGTTTCGGGTTCACGGTTCAGGGACTATACAGGTCTCTCCCAGACTTCTGTTTCACTTAATACTTACCTATACCTTTTTGGGGGTTCCTTATTAGAGTACAGTATAATGGGCCCCAAAACCCTATTCTAACAATTAACTGGCTGGCGCAGGCAATGCTCAGCTTCCTAAAATTCAGGAAGCCCGACGCTAGAACTCTGAGTTGCTGAAGGCCTCCTTGCCAAGGCGTAGTCGGAACAGGCCCCACTTTGCAGTGACAGCTGGGTACCTCTCAAAGCTCGCAAGATGCGCCAGTTGGCTTTTGCAGTCGGAGCTTTGCCAAAAACCCGTCCGAGCAAAAACCCTCTTTTGAACGAGGTCTCTCTGAAGTGCCTCCACCCTTTGCTGCAGGCTTGCTTGCAAGGACGCCGGGTAGTTTGCCGCTCTTCCGCCAGTTAGGACTCAACCCTAAACCCTGAACCCTTCCGAGTTCATCCACCCTGGGCACAAATCCCGGCCATTCGGCTGGAAGTCCATTGAATAGCCGGCCTAGGCTGCTTATAGGCATGCGACGGTCGTTAATGGGACCCCATTAAGGAGTCCCTTAAAGGGGTCTATAATGGGGGGTACTACAAAGGCTCTATGATATAGGAGCCTTAATAATTAGAATAGGGTTTTGTGGCCCATTATACTATAATGATAAGGAACCCCCACAATAGTATGGGTAATTGTTAAGGCCCCTATAGTATCATGTCAGCCTTGACGGTTCATGTCACTGTCGTGCATCCGTGTGTGTGACCCCCTTGCTGCATCCCCTTTTGCTTCCAGCTTGTGCTGGCTGGTCCCTTGATGTCATTTGGGCTCTCCTGCAATCCTTCCCGTAACAACTTGGCAGGCATCTCCATCGGATACTCTCGTACGGAGTATCGGAGTAGGTGCTAGCTGGCTTGAGGCCGAAGCACCTCAGACTCTGGCTGCCACTTGCCCTGATGCGAAAGGCGCATTTTGCCGGATGCAAAATCCAAGGCCAAACCCAGAACATCTCCTGGCTCCCACGACGGCAGCGCCACCTCAAGGAACAGTGCTTTCGAGTGTTTGGGCATGGCAGGGCAAGGCAGCAATCCTGCTACGCCAACGGCGGCACAAAGGACTTCGAAGGAACAACACGTGCGGTCTTGCCAGCCTCCCAAACAGCCCGCCGGCAACATTTGGTTTGAACGTTTCGGCACCTCACACATCCAGCCTCGGGGCCCTCCGCAGCATGCAGTTGAAACATGGTTCTGCCATCTTGGCTCTGCCAACACCAGCTCTCTGCGTCAAAGCCCAGGTCTCGGCTTCGTTGGTATGCTGTGGTGGCCCAGCCAACATTGATCCTCTCGATGTTGCTGAGAAGCTGCACTTCGAAGTAGAAGGCGCCGCTGTTCTTGCAGTTTTGCTTGGCTGCCGCAGTGAGCATGATCTTCTCAAAATCGGACCCCTTCGGCACCCCTGTCCGATCCAGCAGTGACAGGTTATGCAGATTGAGCGGCCCACGGCGTTCCTCCCTCCACTTCGCCTCGATCAACTCGAGCAGTTCGTCGGGTTTGTCGAGCTTGCTGGCTGCATGTCGGGCACGCTGTAAATCCACAGCATCTATGGATCCTGCCTCGAGTAACCACCTGAGCAGATTCTGGACTGACCTTCCAAAGTCGACTTGCTTAATGGGTGGTACGGTAGCCCCAAAGGTTTCGTCGAAACCCTCACCTGGCAGCACCTACTTGGCCTGCCCTGGCGGCGGCCACGATGGCCGAGTCCCCGCTGCGATTGCGCCAGCCCATGTCGCAACCGGCATCTTCGAGAACCTGCAAAAGCCTGGTATTGCCACGGCGGGCCGCAACGAAAGTGGGAAGCTCGCCTTCGCTTCTGGTTGAGGCTGTGAAATCGCAACCTGCGTCTCGAAGCCATTCCAGAGCAGCTTCCGCATCCTGCCAAGGTGAAGACAACTTGTGAGTAGCTTGCTGTAGCCACTCTGCAATCAAGACATAAGGTCGCCTTGCAGTTCCTGGCGGTCCCCAAAACATTTGCATGCAGAAGTTCCCCCTCCACACGTATCGGAGGGCAGTTCCCCAATTTATAGTTGAAAACTGCAGATCCTATCACTGGCTACGCCCACCTCGTCACCCACTTCGGACACCAGCGCTTCCAGATCCTGCGGGCAATTGACTGAGTCGGGAATGATGCCTCTTCCCATCTTGTTGGGAGAACGAGACTCTAGACATGTCATGCCACCGTCCCGCTGGTCACTGCCAGTCCTCCGCCCGTACAGACTCTACAGTGGCTCCGTGTTGAAGAAGTAAGCGCATGACTTCAGTTGATCCGAGCCGGGCAGCGAGCGCAAGAGGTGTGGCCCCGGAATTGTCTTCTTTCTTGCAGTCCGCACTAAACTGCAGAAGCAGCTCGCAAATCTGCAAGTGCCCTGGGGTGAAATTCCGGACGCCACCAACGGGCGACAAAGCTTTGTGGAGTCCGCGTTCCTGAGTTTGTGAGGTGACTTCGTGCAGCAGGCATGACCACGGAAACCGAGAGTTGTCAAATCCACCTTTCCTCATCTTCAAGCCTCTCACCTCTTTCGAAGACATGATGTATTTCTGTGTAGTCGCCAGAAGGCTGGAATGCGGGGCTCCACGCAGGGCTGGATGGATGGATGGATGGATGGCTGGATGCACAATGGATGCACGCATGGACGGATGGATGAATGAATGTATGGATGTATGGATGGACGGAAAGAAGGCTTATGGAGGGATGGATGGAAACATGGATGGAAGGATGGAAGTGTGGGGTACCTGGGTGTACTTTTTCATGTAGTTGTGTATGTGCGCATGTATGTATGCAGGCATGTGTTTCCAGATCTGCTTCCAGCTTCTATGCCTGCAACATGCGCAGGCAAAACACAAAAACTCAGAGGCACTCACCGACAAAGTGTGCTCGGGCAGCGACATACTGATCGTATCGTCGCATCCCTGCTCTAAGGCGCTGGCATTGTCTGCACCCCGGGAGTCGGCGTCTGCATAGCTGTTCAGCAACTCTCGCACTTTGCGCACATCGCCATCTTGGCAGTGCCTTAGCTTGGGAGCCCAAGCGCTTTCACATCCTGAATCCTGAAGTGCACATAGTGCACATCCGAGGTATCCATCGTGTTGAGGTCGGGAGCGAGAGTTTTTGCAGCGCGTCGAGTCAACAGCACCACGCAAACACCCCATACCGCTGACTCAGCTGCCAAGATGCGCTGGCAGCTCTGTGCTTTGCTTCAACCTTTTCTTCACTGCTTGCTTCAGCTGGCTTCGGATTGCTCTCACATAGTCTATCTTCGTCACCTGCACGGAAGCCGCTGGGTACAGAGAAAGAGTACATGTGGGAGCCCCGGAGGAGTGGCCTCGAGCTGGCAGGTGCCAAAGGTTACCCGAAGGTTCGGGCTTAACCCTCTTTCGTTCTTGCTCTTGCTCTTTCAGGTTACTTCTTCACTGTTTGTTGATCTCTGTTCCTCTCTGGAAATGACTCGCATGTTGAAGTGCGGGCAGGATCACCGGTTCCACCTCCCAGAACTTTTCTTCCCCACAGACAAGAACGGCAACCCTTCCACGTGCGGGCGTCCTTCCCGGGTCAACCCCTCCCCTCGGATGCAAAGCTGCGTCCATCTCTCGACCTATCTATCTATCCATCTGTCTGTCTATCTATCCGTCTGAGTGTCTATCTAAATACCTACCTATCCATTGTCTATCTAGCGAGCTATTGATGTATCTGGGGTCCATCTGTATCTCTGTCCACATGTCTATCCGTCTATGTGCCTATGTGTCAGACTGCTCATGTTCCTGACAGTCTCACAGTCTATCTGTCGATCTGCCTTTCGGCCTATCAGTCTATCAGTCTACCAGCCTGTCGTCTATTTATCTATCTATCTATCTAAATGTCTATTTATCTGCCTATCTACATATGTATCTGCCTATCTATTTATCTACCTGTTTGTCTGTCTCTCTGTCAGTCTGTTTACCTGTCCATCTGTCTCTCTAGCGAGCTATCTACCTGGCTATCCATACATCTACGTATCTACACATGCAAATATGCACTCGTGCGTGTGTCCAGTTTTACACAGGTATACGTTTGCGGAGTCTCTCACCTTTTCACAAAGGTACTGAGTGAGTCTCGGTGCTTACGCATGCACGGGGAGGTTCGCGAACCATACTTTGTCGCATGGGCACGCCTGCGAGAGGATGCACACCGCCCGGCCCAGGTACTCATTGTCCGGTTCGCTGCGAAGCCGCAGAAGGCCTCCGGGTGTTAATTGGTAGTTCTGTTTAGAGTTTGGCTCCAGGGCTCAAGGTGCAGTGCCCATTTTCTACCCCTGCTGGAAGAGTCTCGGAGGGCTCGCGGTTAGACGCCGCTTGCTAATATCAATCAGCTAAACCAGAAAATCTGCAGCTACCATTGCACAAACCAGGGGCACAACCAGAGAGGTGCAAACAGGTCTAGCTTCCAGATTGCTGGCAAGCTGCCTTCCATAAGGGGGGCAATGCCGTCCTTATCCGTCACATTCCAGTCTGCCCCGTTTTCCAGCAGCAGCCACATTGCTCGTTCGTATCCACCTTCCATAACCTGCTGGCTCTGCTACGCATGGAAATGGCACCACTCAATATCTACGCAGCAGAGAACCACAGGTCACTAGACGCTCACGGTCCCGAAATTCCGGAAGCCTTGTGCAAGGCCGTCTGGCCGGAGGCTTCGTCCTTGATGTCGATATCTGCGCCATATTGCAAGAAGACGCTCCTTGCATCATGCTCAGAGGAAAGAATCCGCTCTGAGGCGTGCGATGCCTGAAGGATGCCTGAGGCCTGACATTCGGTGCACCCGAGGATCATGAGCTCTGCGTTGCCAGCCTCGGCTGCCTTGAGCAATAAGGGCTTCTCCTTGCTGTTCAGGATGGCCTGCTGCCACGACCACAGAGCGGTCTGCACACGAATCTGCCGGCAAATGATTGGTAGGGTGCTTGTTCATGCGGAACTTCGCAAGCTCATTGCCAGCTCAAGTTGGGAAACCCAGCCAGGTCACTTCGCGCCACCAGCCAATACATATCCAAACAGCTCACGCCATTGCGAAGCTTGTTTGCATTTTGAGCGCTGGGCGTCTACAGCGGCACCCTACACACCCCGCCCAAGATAAATTGAAAGCAGCCCGCAACTCTTCACACATGGCCAAGACGAGTGAACTCTGACGGCCGTGACGCTGTGTGTTTTGAGGGCGAACAGGAGAGGACAAGAAGCTGCAGGATGTTCCAACTGCTGCCTTCAGCTCATCGCCATCTTGCCCCAAATCATCCTCACGCGTCCACACAGCACGTGCAGATCCACCGCAACAGCCCGCAAAGCTGACAGGTCCCGAAAGCCAAAACCCCTAAACCCTAAACCCCTTGTAGTACCCATATAGATCCCTTATAGTAGTCCTTGAAGGAACCGGTCCTTGATTGAGTTCAGAGTGTTCAGTGCCCGCTTCACAGCCTCGATGCCTGTGTGCGCGACCGCTGCCGTGAGATCTCGCTCGATCCGGTTCCGACCACTCTCCTCGCGAGGCTCTATATGGGAGTTTCCGATCATCAGGAGTACCGTATTTGGGGTCCTCATAATGAGGACCCTACTATTTAGGCTACTAGATTAGGGTCCCCTATTTTCGGAAACTCCCATTTACAGTCAACGGGCTTCTTCAACATCTGGGCTGTGTTGGAAGGGCGGTCCTTGACATAGATCATGCCAGGGACGTTAAGCCTCACCAGCCCAATCATGCTTCCGTGCCCTCCAGCTGCTAAAGCACTAAAGCTACTGCGAAAGAGGATTCTCACTACCTCGGATGGGATGGTCTGCCTTTCGACACTCATTGCTAACTGTGCCTGCCGCGAAGGTACCTTGTGCCAATGTGGCTGCACCCCCGTCACACAGAGCGCACACAAATAATTGAGAAGAGGAGGATCAGATTTCACTTGAAGGAAACTTTAAGAATTCGCCGAGAATATTGGTGTCGAGAATCTTGGAAGCAGCTTGATGCGAGACGGCCGTTCTCGCGAAATGCAGCGGGACAATGGACTGCCCGAGGCACGTGCACGCTCGATCAACGACACCCCCACCCCCCACCCATTTGCAGGGCATTCCAGACAGCGCCTGCTGGAGGACCGGGGGCATACGGTTGATGATATAAATCCTGCATTACCCAGATTAAGGAATGTACCATCATTCCCATAGTTCAGGGTCCTGAAGGCAATGCTGGGTTTACATCATCAACCGTATTGTCACTGCCGCCGCTGCAGCACATGACAGGCGCCCCGTGGATGCTCCACAGGGCTTGCTCTCCAAGCAATGCTCAGCGGAAAGTTTTCAAGCACTCGTACAGTCGCCGCAAAGAAAGCTTGCAAAAAAGTTTCGCTGCCACCCTCACAGCACCACACGAATTTTCTGCCCAGTTGCTGGAGTTCGCAGGTCACGCCCCCGATCCGGATGCAGAGCTGCAGGTCGCGGCAGCCGCCGGGCATGGGAAATAAGTATCTGGATGGGGTGTCAGACGAGCATGCTTCGACTGTCTTCGACTGGACTGGACCGGAGAATACGTCATGCAAAAGAACCGGCGACGCTCTACTCCCGAAATCCAACACCCTTGCGGAAAGTGCTGTTGTCCCACAGCCTGTCATTGAACTCCACGATGTCCAAGGTACCCTCCTGCTGCGCAAGACCGGCTTCCAGGGCACAGATGCCGAACTCGGGGATTAGATTAGTTGAAAATTTGTACCGAGGCGCTTAGGATGTCCCAGGGCTGGTCGTTGCTCTGAAAGCTTGCGAGACCAAATGAATGCAAGGAGCAAGAACCGAAAGGCAGCATTACGATAAGTAGCATTTGTTGTCATTAGTATTATTGCGAGTATCAGTAGTACTCGTAACATCGATATAAATAGTATTACGACTTTGTTGTGTGACTAGTGTAATATGCATTATGCATATCATTGGCCCTATCCATTCGCATCATTAGACATATGTCAGTATTATGGCTACTATCATTGTAAAAATACAAACCCAGAAGCACACTCATGGAGTCTGGATCGGGGAAACATACCCGGCTACCGTCACGAGCCTCGCAAGCAGAGTCCATGAACTTCAGCCCCTCATACATGTCTTCCACGCTTTCGTAGATGATGGTGTCCCGGACAATGTCCGTCAAGCGGTACCTCAACATTGAGAGTAGTGAGTAGTGCCAAGGACCTTGGCTCGGAGTACAGCTAGCATGAAATCTTTAATCGTTCATCGAAGATGCCAGGCGACTTCGCCACTTGCGTCACGATACTTCTCTTGCGCCTTTGCTTCGCACCTGCTCTTTGACTTTATAGGTGGCTCACAGTTCTTTCCCTTCGTCTGCGAAGCGATCTCACGCACCTGCCGTGCATGGGAACATTGCCTTTGCATCTGTCGTGGTCGCATCCGGTCTGGCAGCTGAGGCCACGGCTTTTTGGAAGAAGGCTTCCTTTTGCTCCTCGCAGCGTGTGAGCAACTCGTCCAGGTCGTTGACATACTTCTGGTAGTTCAGCTTCGTGCTGCGAGAGTGCCGGTTGGTGGGAAGCACTTCCGCCATCTCTCGAGAGACCCCGTATTTCTCCATCAAGGACGTACCTGCGGCGCTACTTGAGGTGTCTCTGTGATGTCCTGAAGCCTTAAGGCACATGATTGGACAAGGCGGCGCTAAACCTGGTGGAACCGTTCAGGACAGGATATGTTCGGGAACAGGAACATCTGTCGCGTTGCAGTTCGGTGCAGCCTCTCTTCGTGATGCCTAGTACCGTGCCAGCAAGTCAGGCCTGCTTTAAAAAAGAAGCTCCACCACCCCTCTTGGCCCTCCGTTGTGTTCCCCTTACTCTCCAAAAACTCTACAATAGCTGGAGTCACCAAATCAGGGGCAAGTGGCCCAGCTCGCGATAACTTTCCAACTTCTTGATTCCGCCCACTTGTTCCAGGGCTTCACCATACGACCTGCCGTTCTCTACAGGGCCCCTCAGGGCCCCTGTGCAATTTCAGCAACCAGTCCTACTTGCACTATGGTAGGCCCACGCTGCGCCGGGGCCAAAACAATCCCAGTCAGTCAGGCTCACAGCTACATAGCTAAATACACTCATGCACGCAAGCGCTGTACGAAAGGATGTATTGGTTTGTGTCTGTAAGCATACATGAATGCATGTATGTAGCACGCATGCATGTATGAATGTTGCTTAACATGTGTGTATATATACCTATGTGTGTGTGTGTGTGTGTGTGTGTGTGTGTGTGTGTGTGTGTGTGTGTGTGTGTGTGTGTGTGTGTGTGTGTGTGTGTGTGTGTGTGTGTGTGTGTGTGTGTGTGTGTGTGTGTGTGTGTGTGTGTGGTGGTGTGTGTGTGTGTGTGTGTGTGTGTGTGTGTGTGTGTGTGTGTGTGTGTGTGTGTGTGTGTGTGTGTGTGTGTGTGTGTGTGTGTGTGTGTGTGTGTGTGTGTGTGTGTGTGTGTGTGTGTGTGTGTGTGCGCGCGTGTATGTGCATATACCCACATCACGCTCCTTCGCCGTCCCTGCTGTAGATGTATATAGGCAGGGCTCAGGTTACACAGGATCTTCTGATACGTCTTGTGCTAGACAGGGTTTTCTGTTGGACATGCACAGAGTCTTCTGTCCAAGGTTCTAGGCGTCCTTTTGTACAATGACTCGGCTGGGCTTAGATTTTCATGCTACGGGAACTTGTGGCATGTGTAAGGCGACGAGAACATCAAAGTACATCCAAGAGCATGTACAGCATATGGCTTCAAGTACGTACACATACACGTGTACATTGCATACGCATATAAGAATACAAATAGGTATTTACGTATGCACATACATGTGCATCTGCGTCTGCATTGCATCGACATGTACATACTTTCACATCCTGCGCACGTTCCAGTAATGATGAGTGTTCATAGTCCGAGCACGGAGTGTCTAGCCGTCTGACGGCCCTGGCTGCATCATGGAAGGCACGGCAGCCCGTTAACACCGAATCCCGGAAACTCTTCTCAGGCGCGACCCTACCCGGCACCCTGAAGATGACAAGCAATGCCGGATCCCAAACAGTGCGCCCAAGATTATGCTCATCAGCCCATCACTTGAGATAGGCGTTGCAAAAATTTGCGAGTCGGTCGTCGACAGGAATCCTTCGCCAGTCCAAGCCATGCAGAACGAACGGGATGGTCGGAACCATCAGCTAGGAAAACCCTCCGTGCCAAATGGTGCCACCAGGGCTCTGTGGTTTTGCGCCCTGCAGCAGCTTTTCGTGCAGCGCCGTCTCCTCTACCTCCACCAGTCGCGGTTTACCCTCTCACAACTCGGACTTGCCTGGAGCCAAAGCACCAACCCGAAACTCCGAAACCAAGCTTGCGCTCTAGGATTCGCAAGCGCTCTGGTTGAAGGGGAGAGGGTACGAGGGGTTTAGGACACTTGGGGAACCGTAGTGACTGCCACCAGGCTATATGCCCCTTTCAATCCCCTCCATGAAGGATTCCGTAAATTTGCAAAGCATGGATCCTTAAAGCCCCGAAACCTAAGACCTCGTAGGCGTAGGGCGCACCTTCTGCAGCAGCTCGCGGCCGCTTGCTCCCTGCAAGGCATCCGCACCAGTCGCACAAAAACAGGTTCACAAGTACATTCTACTCAAAGCCGAAATATCATGAAGGGTCTTTGCAGAAAGGAAAAGCTGCAAGGAAGCAGGATTGTCGTGGCTTGCCGATCTCATCACACCCACATTTCAAGGCTCTGGTTTCATGGTTCGACGTCACCGTCACCGACAGGACTTCTGAGCACCACGGGCCTTGGGCACACAATGACATAATGATGCCTGCAAGAGAGCCAGAAAAAGCCGTGTCCTGCTGCCAGTTCTGCCCTTGTCCGCGCTATGCCCACACGACGGCAGCCGAAGCACCTCTAGTAGATAGTCTTGGGCTAGACACCCAAGCTTGAACACCACCCTCCAACTCCAAATCCTAAACTCCGGAATCTCAAGTCTGAAGACGCTGCTGGCCTCGGGCCCTCGTGCACTTTTGGGCGAATCGGGCAGCACCTAGCCACATCTTGCCCCGCCAGGAAGTTGGGTTTCACTCCCGACTGCGGGGTCTCACGTGACGCGGAGTGGACAGTACAACAGCAAACCTGAGCTTAACTCAGACACGACGGGAAACCAACACAGCATCGCAGTACACTCCCATCTGAATCAAGAAGCAATAGGCCTAGGCCTGACGGTTTGCCGCAGTCGGCATCAAACCATGTTTGACTCTGAGGCTCCGGCTTGGCCCTTTTGGTTTCGTACTTGCTCCAGCTCCTGAGAAGCAAGCGCTTCCGGGACTGAGGGCTGCTGGCTTTGAGGGTGCTATATCAACCGTGTCTCTCGAGGCTTGCAGGTCATCCCATCCCCATATCGGAACAAAGTGTCCAACATGCCGAACCTCACGCATCTGCTGCTGGTTCAGCAGGAGCAAGGACAGCATAGTGGAGACCTGAGGTTGAGAGTTTCAATAACGAGCCTTGTCATCCCTGCATCAAGAAACAAGGATTCAGAGAAAGGCGACATGCGGGAAAGGACCTCTAAGCCATGCAAAATCAGGCAGTCTCAAGCAGTACAAGATCACAGAATCAGACTTCCAGGCTTGTAGAACTCATCCAGGACTCTTTTCAGTGAACATGACAAGACTCTGGAAATCCCAGACGAAACTATTATGCAATGCCTCCGACTCTTCTGGCACCCAGAAACAATCGAAAGCAAGCACCACAACGTCATGACTTCTTACAAAACTGACTGCCTTGATCTGATCATCTGCCACCCATTTTTGCACGGCCTCCTCGCACGGGGCTGCGGCTTTTCGGGCTGGGGCTCATTCTTGGAATCATGTTGCCAAAATACTACTAATACTGCTAATAATACTACTAATACTACTAATACTACTAATTAATACTACTAATACTACTAATAAGATGGCAACTAAGACATTCCGTGCGGCAGGGTTTCCGGGCGCAAGGGGAGTTTGGATTACGCAGGAATTCCAGACCCATCCAGGCTAAACAATTGAGATCGGGGCCCCCACGTAGGAACGGGTATAGTTGATAGGACCTTATTGCTACTAATACTACTAGCCCAGGACACGGCCAGGGGATTATTATTGCGAGCTCCAGTCCACGAACCTGACTGCAGGGCCCCGCTCGAACAAAAACCTTCGTGGGGGTGGGGTTATTAATATGACTCCCACACGACATCGACATCTTCGCATGCATCTTAAGAGCACCTAACGTCCCATGCCGAGCGCATTGGCAGCGGGGCCTCAACATGTAGGCTGCATGTTCGAAAAATCACACGTGCCTGAGACACTCAGCGTCTACGAGACTACCAAGAATTGATACGCGTGCTTGGCTTCAACAGTCTCCGAGACTTGGAACATTCTCATCGTGGGAGCTTCATGTGCTCCTGGAAGATGCTGTGGTACAGACTCGCGTCGTAGTGCTGGGTCGGTGTACCATCGCCGGCTTGGTCCACTATCTTTGCCACCTGCAGATTCAAACATTCAGCAGCACCTGTACGACTACTGTCCTTACGACGACCAACACACCTAGTCTTTTGTCTTCCCAGCAACACTCAGTGAATCCAAAGCTTCGGAACGACCAAGAGCCATGTTGCCCGGCATATCCAATGAAATGCTCCAACAGTGACCGACTCATTTCTAGCCGAACGGCGGCACACAGGAAAGATGCGAGCTGAAGGACCCTCAGGTTAACAAACATGTGTACATGTATGCTTTCTGTGTGTGTGTGACACGGCGAGGACCTGCCACCGCCGAGACCACTGAAGTAGACGAATACCATTTGGGCACTTGGAGGTCTCTAACTGCCCAGCAGAGACCAGATGGTGACCACAACAGGCAACCTACATACTTGCCGTTGCCGGAATGCCTCCTCAATCGCCAGACTGGCGTGAAGACCACTCATTGCAGACATCACTTTAGTGATGACTGCCTCGGCAAATCTGTGAGGACTTGACGCTGGAACAACATGCCCGATTCTGCAAATCTTCGGGACACTTGGCAGGGTCCTTACTAAGTGGTTCTAACCTGGCTTGCAAACCTCACTTCACTGCGTGCCTCGCGGGTGTAAGACCTGGCCAGATGACGCGTGGTGATGAGAACTCGAGCATGTGTTGGAATTCAAACACCGGAATTATGCCGGCGCTGATGCACACAATCCTTTTTTCTGGCTTAGGGGGCAACAAAAGCATAGCAATAGGAACGAGAAATACAAAGCGTCTCAGCTTCCGTCCACATACAAGTCAACCAAGTCAACCTCATCCTTCTGGTTGACCCAGTCTTTCAGGTCTCTGAAAATCCTCCAACATACCTACCCTCGCTAATCATTCCGCTAGTGTGCCCAATCTTTCGATGCGAGAACTGGCCGTCTGATGGCACGTCTGCCCGTGCCTCCAGTAGTCTACACACGTCACATTTCAAAGGTATCAATCCCGTTCACCTGATCTACGTCGCTCGTCCAGTCAACGAAGGAAACGAGGTTCATGCCGGTGGCCCTCTTATTCTAATTTCGAACAAGAAAAAAGAAGCTGGGATGATGGTATTTCATCGAGACATGCACCCCAGCGGCACCTGAGAGATGAGCCGCTCGCGTCCATGGCGACAGGTCGGAGCCGCTTGCAGCAGATTGAACTGTGGCCTTGGCCTAAGGATACCTCTCCTTAGAGAATGCAGGACTCCCTATGTCCGAGCAAAGCCGCATGTTGGATCCGATACTATGACGGTATGCCCATGGGCCGCAAGCCAACATGTCTAAATCACCTCGGTGGCTCTAGAGGAACAGAAGGTCAACACTCCAGGATTCGGCTAGCCGCCTACCAGAAGCCTAAGCCCTAAACCTTGGGGTGAGAGATCAACCGCAAATGCACATGCTGCTCGTGGAATCTGGCTCCGCCGGGCTTCGGGCCTAGAAAAGCTTCGCAAGGTATGGCAGAATTTCTGAAATTTTGGCACCCACTCTCGCGGAGTCCAAGGCAAAAGCACAAGCTTGTGGAAGCAGTGCAGGGCTTGCCGGTTTGATTGCCACTTAGCCTTGAGGCACTACAGTCTAAACATGGCACGACAGGAATGGCGCATGTATGTGCTTAGGTTAGATGCTCAGGGCCGATGACAAGCTGATGATCGAAGGATCTAACAAGCAAAACAACCTGTTTCACCAAACATGCTCGGGGCACATGCTCGGGGCTGCAAGCTCTGAGCCTCCGGCTGTCCCGTCTTTGGGGCACGAGTCGCTGTTCCGTCTTTGGGAGGCGAGCTCAGTCTGCTACGTGAAGCCTAGGGTACCGGGCCCCTGCCTTATCTCCCGAACCATACAGTTGCTGGCAATGCAATGGGAACTTTGGGACATCCTAGGACTGGAAAATCTGCCATCTCACTTCGGAGAGTCGCCGGCTTCGGCGGTGTTCGACCTCAACTTGAGACTTGAGCTCAACCGGACGGGTCGTGAGCCTCTTGTGAGCAGAACTTGGGCTTGGGCGGGCAGCGAGCACAGCTACATCTCCTCGTCGTCACCTCGGCGCGACGAGTCTTGAAAAACTCCTCTTTGCATCCCTCACATGCACTGAACTTTAGTACGAGGCCTCAGGCCAAGGATCTGAACTTCAGTCTGGCATTGTCTGAAATGAGGCCAGGTCGAAATAGACGCTAGAATTGTCCGAACCACATGCGCCGCACATCATCAAACCACACAAACAGGACTGTGTTCTGCCTTGTGGGGGTTGCAAATGCTTTGCTGGAGAAGCGGCTGTCGTACAAAGAGATTCCCACGCTCGACACGAGGGAGCCGGAGTCGCTGGAAGTTCTTCTGATCGGCCTGCTGATCTTGTGTGAGCCCCACTCTTCGTCCTGGAATCACGAGGTGGAGGTAGGGGCATGCTTCAATTTTGCGTGTTGCTTCTTTGACGAATGACAAATGCTGTCGCCACCGTCTTCGGGAGTTCTTGTCAGTCAGTAAGCCTCGTGTAAAGACACATGGACAGGTATACCGTCGTACAGGCGCCTAGCACGTGCGAAGACAGTATGCTCGGACGAAGGGACGCTATGCAATTGAAGGCTGCTGCCACATGTTAGCCAAAATTTCTATCGACCCCGCCACATCTAAGGCAAGTTTGTACACTTCTGTGGCCCAAATGTGTCGTGGTCTACCACCTCGTCGAGAGTTCCTGAGGAAGGAAAAACTGCGATAGGGGATACTTCATCCGGTATCCTGAAGCCCACCTGGGCAGTCGATAGTTTGACTTGCGCGCTCGAAACCAGCATGCCAAGGAGGGGCTTGAGCTCATCAGCTCATGTTCATCACCAAGAGCAGAAACCCCCGAGACGTCCTTGACATTCCACTCACCGACTCCATCCGCCCAGGGCTTGTAGTCTTCGGAGGGAGGTTTGAAACTCCATTCCTGCCAGAAAGAGAGAACTCTCCTCCTCAAAAAACCACTGCTATGATGCAGACTAGGTGAATGTTTAAGCTAGTGACGAATAGTTCATCATCATATCCTAAGTCGGTAGTGACTATACATGAAGTGAATAACTTAAAGGCTGAATGTACTGAGTGCCACTACATAAAATGGCCACCATCATCTTCCTCTCTAACCCCTCGGATAAACTCCATTTCCGATGTGTACTCGTTTCCCAAAGTGCAAAGTTTCCTAGATTCCTTCAGCATACAATGAATTTCCGAGATTCCCTACTCACCTGCAGGAATCTCACAAGACTTGCGTTAGTTCCCTAGGCTCCCGTTGCCAGAACCTCTGTTCCCTAAATTCCCCCCACATTCTCTAATTTCGTGCCCAGCCCCCGGAATACCTGAACTTACTAGACTACCGTCTGTCCCTCCCTGAATACACATAGCTACCATATTGCTAACCACCCCATCAAAGACCAACATCGCACATCTGATTCCCCACTGTATTCTCGAAATTCCCTGATTCGGCAACCCCTAAACTTTGACTGGGTTCGCTGCATTCCTCGGTTTCCTTACTTTCGCATCTCCGCTCCACGCCCGCCCCCAATCAGGATCCAACAGCGGAAACGTTGAGGAGGCTTCCGACTGTACCCTGCAGCTGAGTAGCCCAACTGCCGGAAAGGGGTCTTATGATAACAATCTGGTTTCCGTTCCGCAACAATGACACGCGAACAGAAGAGCCAAAACTGATTGCTGCAAAGACAGAAAAGCAGCAACCTGGGACAGGGGTGACGATGCAACCAAACACGCGACAGAAACAACAAACATAAATATTTAAAAGAACGAGCACTACTTTAACGGTTTTTCCTGCCTTCGTCCCAAGCCTTAGACGGAACAAGCACGCTTTCGTGGTGATCGCGGGATACCTGACCGTGCTTCAAAAGACTCGAACACGCAAAGAAGGCAACTGTGAATCTTAGAATTCCCGACGCAGGATCCTACAAAGCATCAGACAAAAATCGACAGATGCGAAGCTTGCGGATGATGGCATATTTGCCATAACGCCTCAAGGCACGAGGTTTGGAGATCAGCTACCAGGGCCTTCTTGATGCAAGGCACAAGTCACGGCCGTTCGGCTCGAATTCCATCATGTAATCAGCCTTAGAGAGTTGCGGAAGAAGGACACACATTCGCCAGACTCCGGTCCGCAGCAGAGTACAGCTTTGTGAGTTTCAGAACAAGCTTACGTTCAGAATAGTTCGGATGGCTACGGGTTCCAAGTCTACGCCTTACACTGCTCTTTGCTGCTCATGCCTACGGGCATTGCGACGTCTTGCCTGCCCCGCAGGATTTTTGAAAATTGAGTGCTTTCGCTGCTGCAGACACCAGGACCGGCCGGACCCTTCACAGAAACGGCAAAGGGGTTGCAAAATCGCAGAGCTCGAATCTGCCAAACTTCCGCTTACAGCTCTCCTTCTCTCCATCCCTACACCGACATTTTCAGAGCCACCAGGCACCGTGAACCTCCATTATATTTGCACTCGGTCCAGAAAGTTTTTACGGATAGCAGAGAGTGCTATCTCGATTGTGCCACATCCAAAACTGCGGACTAAACTCAGAGTCGTGCCACGGTGCTGCAGCTACCATGCTACAAGCGATGTGTCGACTGACTTTATTCGCTGAAGTAGCGACTGTGTCAGCCCAGGGACTTCTGTATACCAGTTGCCCTGGTGTGAAAGCTGCATTTTGCCCTCCGTGTAATCCAGTGCCAAGCCCAAGATATCGCCTGGTTCCCACGGTTGCGCTCGCACCTGCATGGTGTGGAGTTGCGGGAGCAACGATAAAGCAAGTTCGTTGCAAGCCATGCTTCCCAGTTTGACGGGGGCATGGTGACAAGAAGCAAATTGTCAGGTCATAGAGTCGTAGACCCTCTGTGCGGGATATGCCGGTATCAATGTACGTCTGCGGAGTGCTGCTACTGCGACTGCGACTCCGACTGCGACGACGCCTCCTCGTCTCCTCCTGCCGCTGTTGGTGCTGCTGCTGCTGCTGCTGCTGCTGCTGCTGCTGCTGCTGCTGCTGCTGCTGCTGCTACTGCTACTGCTACTACTACGACTACTACTACTACTACTACTACTACTACTACTACTACTACTACTACTACTACTACTACTACTACTACTACTCCTGCTACTACTACTACTACTACTACTACTACTACTACTACTACTACTACTCCTAGCAATCCTAGTCCCAGTATGATCCTCGCCACGAAATGGCCTGCTCTGCTTTTCCGGCCCGGATCTTCTCCATGAAGCCCCCGACCATGCCTTCCCAACACCAAGCTTCTCGATGCTTGCCTGAGCTTACGGTTAAACAGACTCGGCCCGGAATTACCATAACACATCGCCAGGATTAAACTTTTGTCGCAGTTGCCTACGGAATCATGCAGAGTACGCGGAGCACCGAGAAGTACATTTTACATGGCCTGGCTAGCGGAGGAACCTATCCACGGGAATGGGTTTATTCTACTACAACGTTCCGGACTGAGGACTGTCTTGGAGGAGCCTAAGAATCTAAGGGGGGAGGGGTTTTGCAGCTTTGCAAGGCTTTCAAGACCAACATGCGGAGAGTAGGACGAACTTTCGTCCTGATGCAGTAGAAAATATCTTGGTTGAAGTCTTGGGGCCGTTACAAGTACTATGGATAGGTACGCCTCTGGGAACCATAAAAGGAGGTTGAAAAGTTTCCCAAAGTGCCACCTGGATAAACAGTAAGTCAAATGTAACGCTTCTTATGGGCAGCTGAACTCAGAAGAACTAAGCTTCTTAACAAGAACCCAGTTGCCCAAATCCTTGTCTCCCTGAAAGGAGCCACTGGCCCAACCAGCCTGAATCCAGTCAAACGTGGTCAGCAGCTCCAGCTCATAGTACCGTCTCCCAATGCTTCGACCCTCCTTCTCTTTGAGCTTTGCTGTCAGTGGTCTCTGGAAGCCTATTTTTTCTGCGTCTTTCTCATCCCCCCCTCTGCCACCGAATTTGTCCAAATTGCTGCTTAGACTGGGCAGTTCTCTACGCGTCCATTTCTTCTCGAGCAGGCTTATCAACTCCTCGTGGTCCGGCTGAGCTCTGGCCGCATGCAATGCTCGCTGCGCATCCTTCAAGTCGACCCTGCATTGTTCCAGCAGCCATCTCACAGCTTCCGTCTGTCCGTCACGAGCTGCCGCCGTGATGGCCAAGTCTCTGTTGGCATTGGGTCGGTCTGGGTCGCATTTGGCTTCCAAGAGCACCTCCAATGCTGCAGTATTGTTGCAGCGGGCGGCAAAGAAGGTGGGCAACTCGTCTCTGGCAGTTGGTGTTGTGAAATCCTGTGCTGGTCCCAGAGGAGACTTCACTTATGGCGACAAAAACTGCAGGGTTAGGGCTTCCAGCTCCTATTGCTGCGCATGTATGTGTGCAAGTTTGGCACATTGTCCTCGCTGGTTGAATTCATGACGTGACAGACAGGCCGACCGTAACAGGTGCGGAGCTAGTTGGTCAAATTAAGAGACCCACAAGAAAAAGTCTTTGAAATGCCATTCCGGAGTCGCAGCCGGCGGCATGAAGCTGCTTCAGCGCTGCAGCCTGCACCTGATCACAACCCGTTTCGAAGGAATGACTTAAGGGTGGTGGCTATGAAGAGATTGTTCCGATGAGAAGCTCCAGCTTACAGGCCCTGGAAACCTGGCAAGAAGTGAAGCCAGCTATATCAATTCATGCGCCCGCCTCATGAAGGCATGTCCAAAGTGCAGCCAGGAATGAAAGCGAGGCTTTCTAATTCATGCCGGTTAATGCACAGGTGCCGCACACGGGCAGTCGCTAGCATTACTGTCGGACAAGGCCGGAGTGGCGATTGCTGCAGGGACTGCCGCAATCGATGCTAACAAGACTGAAAAACGATAACAAGGACAAAGCCAAGCTTTGCAGGGGTTCCACCAACAGCAAGACCACAAAATGGTGTACAAATGTCACTTGACAAAGTCTTTTGGATGCATGTCACCTGTGCGATCTCGGAGTCCTCCGTGCGTCGCAGAAGGTATTGCACATCCTCGGGGCGAAGCACTAAGTTACCTCCTTTGGGAAGAATACACAAATCCACAATCAATTCGAACCATGGCGCGCAACGACCCCTTATCCGAGAGTTGTAGGAGTCCTAGATCCCTCATGTTGCCAACTATCCGGTCCTCCACTTGCACGGTCTGTGCCGTGGCGTTCTGCTGCAGCAGTATTTGGACAGCTTCACAAGATCCAAGCCGCACGGCAAGCACCAGCGGTGTGCGTCCTTCTTCGTCGCGCGGATTGCAATCGGCATTGAATTGCACCAACAGTCGGCAAATCTGGAGATGCCTCTCTGTTAGATTCTGGTAGCCACCTATCGGCGACAGAGCCTTGTGGAGTGGGCGCTCCTGACACGGAAAGGTTCACAGACTTCACTCAAAACGTGACCGCAAGACAGGATCGAAGACAATGCATATAAGGGCATGGCTTTCTTGTCGTTCGGCGAGTTGGCATCCGCGTAGTTCTTGAGCAACTCCAGCACTGAAACTTCATCACCATCTTGGCAATACCTGAGCGACCTCTGCACCCCCTGCTTTGATGGACACCAACCCTCTGCACAACATGCCGGACATCACAGGACTGAGTACGTAGATTAGACTTTGGAAGATGTCAAAAGAACAGCGACCCCTTTCCTGCCATCCAAGCTCAGCAAAGTTTGGAACTCTGCCGCAAAGTGGCTGCAACAATTGGCTGTTCTGCTTCAGCTTATCATGGACGACCTTCTTCAGGTTGTCTTGGGCCGCTTTCAAGCGCACCATTCCAGCGACCTGGCAGTTCATCCCCAGGAGGGGAGCCCTTACACTGCTACAGTGCTGCTACATGCTCCGTCAGGCCAGGCCAGGGCAGGGGGGTGCCTGCGAGAGGATGCAGACCGTCCGGCCGATGAACTCGCTGTCTGGCTGGCTCCTCAACTGCAGGAAGCCTCGGGGGCAGCATCGCAGCTCGGTCATGGCATAAAACTGACGGGCCGATCCGACGGAGGGGCCGATCCGACGCAAATATCAGGAAGCTGGTTTCATTGCAACAAGCAGAAGCGAAGTTACGAGAAGCAGTCTTTGCAAGCGTCAATGCAGGCAAGGATCCTTGCATCAAGGGAACGATGCCATTCGCGTCGGCTGTGTCCACTTCGGCTCTGTGTTCGAGGAGCAGCCACATCGCACGCTCGTACCCGCCCTCCATCGCCTGCAACACCATACCCCTACGACAGCCCGACAGAAACCCACAGTGTCTTGCTGGATTCTCCCTCCCTACTAGTATGTGGAGCAGAGCAAAAGATTGGGGAGCCAAGGAAGAGGACTCTAAGCACCGTGCTAGCCGTCATGGTACGACAAGCACTGCGTCACAGCGGCAAGCCATCCCAGGACCGTCTCAGAAGGCTCACCCGGCGAGGATCTGGGGGAGTCGCTGCAGTGCTCACCAAGAGCTCTGGGAGTTTCAGAAAATTAGGGGTACCTTACTTTGGGGTCCTTATAATAAGGATCCTACCATTTAAGGTACTATGTTAGGGTCCCCTGTTTTCGGAAACTCCCATTTGAAATCCACAGTTTCCCATCGTTTTCTCAGGCAATGCCCAAGTTGAAACGTGTCAAGATGCGTGGTCTCCACCGTGACACCTACTTGCAAGCAACGTAAACTAGGTTTGGGGATGATAACAGAAAGACTGTTACTAAAGATCCAGTATCTGACACTGACCCCCCGTTTCAGCTTCAGAGCCTTGTGCAAGGCTGTCTGGCCCGAGATCTTGTCTTGCACGTTGACATTCGCACGGTGCTCCAAAAAGATGCTCCTTTTCCGGGAAGGCCACGCGCGCGGAGCAACTGAAACTCACAAACCCGAGATGCCACAGTGCACAAAGAACCGGTGGTGCCAAGAGACATAAGCTGAGAATTGCCCGTTTGGGCTGCCTTGAGCAGCAAGGGCTTCTCGCTGCTGCTCAGGATATCCTCCGGAATGCAAGCTTCGTTCAGCTACGGACATCCGTGTTCCGGGGATGTGCACGTGCCCTGCTAAGGTCTGCATGATCAGGTACTCATCCCCCAACCGGCGTGTAAGTTTTGCACCGGCGCGTCCTCGCAACTCCCAGGCGCGAACTTCGAACAAAAAGGTCTGAACATTGTGAATTTTGAGCTTATGAACTCCACAACAGACTGCAGATGGGGAGAAACAGATCGGGAACCACTGTCGCTCGCCAATACTACAAACTGCTGAGATTTGAAAACATTTTGCCGAAAGCAAATGCACGGGGACATACCAAAGTCGGGAAGGTCTTCTGAAAGGTTGTTCCCTTTGAACAACAAACTGCCTGCAGCTGCTTTGTGGCATCCTTCCCCAAGTGGTCCTTGGGCAAACGGAAAGTGGTAATGAAACGAGGTTGTGTTAGAGGGCTGGGGGGGTGGCTTTCAGAGATCAGGCCGCGGTGGGTCTGCAATGTAGGACTAAGGGCATCAACTTCGGAGTTTGGGGGGCCGTAGTAGAAACGATAATAACAAGTAAAATGAAGAGGAGACCGCACTTTGCAGCATTCGGCATGCATCGCTCCGGAAGACTTCCAGCGGTCCTTGCCCCACTTCAGGATGTTCCCGGCTCTCTTCACAGCCTCCGTTCCAGTGTCGGCCACAGCCGCCGCAAGCTCCCGGGCGACTTCGAAGGTGCGGTGCCCACTACCCTCCTGCTCTCCGTCAAAGCATTACAACATACATATATATGTATATGTATACATATATATATATAGATATGTATGTATCCACGTATGTATACATATGCACATATATCCATATGTACATATTTACATCTATACACGTGTTATACACATATCATACATATATACTTATATACACATGTACATACATACATGCGTACATATGTACACATATAGTCATATATACGTATAGATGAAGAGAGAGAGAGAGAGAGAGAGAGAGAGAGAGAGAGAGAGAGAGAGAGAGAGAGAGAGAGAGAGAGAGAGAGAGAGAGAGAGAGAGAGAGAGAGAGAGAGAGAGCGAGACAGACAGACAGACAGACAGACAGACAAACAGACAGACAGACAGACAGAGCCAGAGAGGTGTGTGTGTGTGAAAATGTACATATATATATATATATATATGTGTGTGTATATATATATGTATAGATTTTGGACTATTTTATATATCTACTTATTCATATGCTATGTTGAGTCTGCCAGAAAGAAGCCCGTTCGACTGCAAGGTTGAATGTTAGGATTGGTTTGAATCCAGCCCGGCTTGAAGGTCTGGAGGTGTTTTGCAATGATTCGGATGCGCGATCTGTGTACTGGAGGCGTCAGGCTACAAGAATTCCAGGCCCTGAGCGCGCAGACGTCTCCTTGATGTAGATCATGCCAGCGACATTAAGCCTGGAGGCTCAGAGATGCATGGAATGCATGGCATAGGGATAGATGGGTGTTCCTGCAGGAGGTTCACCACTCTCTAAACATGAAGGCTTTTGCTCGGCCATGTGCAGATGCTGATGGCTACTATCGATTGGGCAGCTCTTGCCAGCAGGTTTAGGGCAGTCTGGCAACTGGAGCTCGCAGACAATGTCGCTTATCCGCACCGTCAGCTGCAGGTCGCGATAGCCGCCATCTAGGGGATGGAAGTATCTCGGCCAGCCAAGCCCAAGAGACCGGAGTTCGAGACCAGAGGGGGTGAAGATGCGTTTGCGCTCAAGGCTCAAGGGCAACATACCGGGTGCTACATCTCAGAAGTGCCAGCCCACCCCGCTTGCACAGATGGTATTGGAAACCCTCAACCCCGAAACCACAGCACCACCACTTTTGAAGACGACAGTGAGCACGGCCAGCAGAGCGTTCCAAATCATCAAACCCCTACATGACACTAACATACCAAAGCTGCGAGTGAGCAGGCATCTTCAGGGAACCGGGGTCATTTCCGGAAGGCTAGAAACTGAACCACGACTGTGCTTGTGGCCATTGGGCTTGAGAACAACCGCTCCATGAGAGCCCTTCATTCGTCTTGCGCGGAAAAGTTTTTCGTAAGTCGATAAGATTCTTGCCGCCACCTCTATGTGCGCACATAACTACCACGCCAGTCTCCTAGTCGCTGCTCTGGCTTTGCAACAGCAGCCCTCGATTACCGTGCCTGTCATTGAACTCCACAATCTCCAGGTCGCCGTCCTGCTCAGACTCAAACTGAAAATTACAGGAACAGTTGCGAATGAAGCTGATGGGCCCGAGCATGAGATTTCGGACTTTCAATTTGGGCGGCCAGTCAACTGTTTACATGTAGGACGGGTTGCAAGCGGACCAAGACGCGTCAGCAACGCCTCGTGCATGAGCTTCAGCCCTTCGTACATGTCGTCCAGGTTTCCATACACCACTGTGTCCCGGACGATGTCTGTTAACCGGTGCCTGATCAGCTTCTTGTTTGACACCGAAAGGCCGACGGTGAAAGTCGCATATACATAACTATATATATATACATACATACATACCTACATACATACATACATACATATCATATATATATATAGCCTCAACAGCCCAATTCCCAATCTCGTGGAGCCAAGCTGCCAGGAGACGTCGCCGCTCGCATCGCGATACTTGAACGTCGCTTTTGCTTCGCACCGCTCTTTGGACTTCAATGGCGGCTTGCAATTCTTTCCACCTGTCTTCGTCGCGATCTCCTTCACCTGTCAAGCAAAGGTGCCGGCGCTACCAGCTACCACGCAACTCCACAGGCAAATCCCTCAAGGCCGCACAAACTTGCTTGTAAGGTTGGGGCTTTGTCAAAGAAGACTTTCTGGTGCTTCTTGCAGCGCTCGATCAGCTCGTCCAGGTTGTTCACATACTTCTGGTAGTTGAGCTTGACGCTGTAAGCAAGTCGTGCCTTCGAATCTCCCGAAAGCACTTCCGCCATTTCAGGGGCCACCTTGTAGGATTCCATGAGGCGTGTGCCTGTAAGCATTTCTTCCATGCAATGCTGAGTGTCTGGGGCAAGGGGTAAAAACACAAAGGCAACAAGCACACAATCTGAATGAAAGCCGGCCACTCATCTCTCTAAACTCCTCCAGCTTCTTCTCTCCGCCCACTTGCTCCAGGGCATCTTTGTAGCTCCTGGCCCACTGACGGACACGATGCCACCAATGACCAGGGACTTGCATAATCAGACAGTTATACAGTTCTACATATTTAAACACGTATGTGTGTGTATATACATACGCACATATAACTATGACCTGAAAGCAAAGCCTTACCTGACGTGACTTCTGCAACAAGCCAAGGCTCGTCGGCTTTTCTTTGCCTTCCAGAAACTCTTTATGTGGCGGGACCCTCTCTTCCTTTTCCTGCCACGACTCTCGGCCGTCATGTTTGGCCGCAGGACTACCCAAACTGAAAGCCACAAAGAACGAAGCGAGACTTCGTCGGGGCGGTAGAGCACAAGCATCCAGGAGCTGCATGCATCGCGGCTCTGCTTTAAACGAGATCTTCAAGGATCCTACTTTATTTAGGGTGTTGTATTCGGGTCCCCTTTTTTTAGGGTGTTCTATTCGGGTCCCCTTTTTTCGGAAAACCTTCAGGGTTCTTACTCGCGGCCTCCGAGTCCGTGTCGCCCGACAGCTGGCGCGAGATGCGCCTCTCGAGCTGGGTCACGAGCTGGTTCGCCTGCCAAACTCAATATATTATGATATTATGGTATCTCTCTCTCTCTCTCTCTGCCGTGCCATCATCAAGTGTCTCTATGGTATACTATAGGATATTATGGTATACTATAGTATACTATGGTATACTATGGTATAGTACGGTAAGTTATGGTATATTACGGTATACTGTAGTATATAAATTATGGTACGTATGTTATGGTATACTATGATGTCAGTGAGCAGCGATTTGTTTAGCTAGGGCTTGGGGGTTCGGGACCCTTGGCGCATCCGGTCATTCAACTTTTTCTTTTCAATCGTAGAGCCGCCGGAGCTCTTAACATGCTGTAATGTAGGAAACTGATTAAGAAACATTGGGTCCTTATTAGGTTTCTTCATATTCTGGATCCTAGTATATTGGGGTTATAGGCCTGGGGTTTCTGAATCAGCCTCCCACTTTACCTCGCAGAAACCATTGCTTCTTGCAGGCCTTTCCGTGTTACTTTTTGCTTGGAGCTGCAAACGAAAATCCAGAAGACCGAACCCCAAGGCTTCAAAAGCGAAAGCGTGACCACAAAAGCCGCAAGCTGGCACAACATTCTAAAGCTCCAAGAATAGCTTTCTTCAGCGGTCGCCTCCGCATCCCAGTCCTTCGCAAGCTGCGTCAGTTGCTGCTGCAAGTCCTTGATGTCGCGCGTGACCTTCGCAGCTTGATTGTCGGCCGCATATAACAGCATCTTCTTCCCTGTCCTTCTCAGACTCCGGAAAGTCTTGAAGCAACGACGTCTCAGGGTCATGTGGGTCAAAAAAGGGCTTCCCGCGGAAGCCTTTCAATTCCGTGTCAATGTGTCATCAAGCTCCAGGGACCGAAGCCTTGCTGATATCCTGAAGCCGTCCATCCCCAAAGCCACAGAGACATAGAGAAACCGTGTCTCTGGGGTAGTTTGGTTTGTGTCGTGGGTTGCATTCTGCGGGCCTTTGTGAGTGATCTTAAGAGAGATACGTGAAGGCGGGGCGTACCTGAAGCCGGGCACATATATCGCCTTGGGTCCAGAATTGAAGGACTTCGGAAATGGACCCCACAGGTCTAAGGCTTCGAGGATTTCGACATCGCTCGAAAAAATCCTCGCCCGCATCAAGCCACACCACCAACTGGAGCCCATAGCCGCCCCACAAACACAACCATCTCAGGTGCAAGTGCACCCCAAACGCACTGTCGCGCCTTCTTCTCGAGCTCCTGCAGCTTGGCTGCCCCAGCTTCAGCCTGCACTCCAGTCAGGGCAAAAGCATGTGTGTGGTTCTGATCTACTCTCAAGGTCTCGGCTGTAAGCTTTGAGTTCTGCCCCGTAGTCAGCTTTCGCGGCTCCAGCCGCCTGCAGCTTGTGCACGTCTTGCTCGAGTTTGGCGACGCTCTGCACCAGCGCATCGGGAGCCTGCACTGCTTCGATCTGAAAACACGGAGAGAGGTAACAAACCTTCTGATGCTGCTAGACTATCTTAAACTAAGGTACAGTAGTGGTATGGTGGCCGTACGGAAATTAAGTGCGGACCGACGGCAGGAATGTGCGCATCTTTCAATTCACACGTCTCTGCACGGATGCGAGCACTGCTACAGGCAGCACCAACCCGCAAACAGCCTAGACTTAGAGACTTGTTACCCGCAACCACGCCCAGCGTCCAGGGCCTCGATTTGCTTCGCTTGCGGCGCCGTGGCATCGCCAGGGCCAGGCTCCTCAAGGACTTGCTGTCTGGGAGTTAGGACTAAGGGGGACCCTCTTGGGGATATAGACCCTCTCAATCAGGTCCCTTTTAAGAGAGCCAAAGTAGCAGGGTTGAGAAGGGTCCCCTTTGAGGGGTGGCCCCCCAAGTACTACCTAGGCCCGGCTGCATGTTCAACAAGCTGCCTTCTCCTGATGCCCATCACGGCTGAGAACTGCTTTGGAGACGCCTCGCAAGAACGGGCGCTTTGCCAAAAAAGCATCAGAAAAGCTCAGAGGGCAGCCACAGTGTAAGGGCCGACAAAGCAAAAACAAATCTTGGATACTGCATGCCGATACTTTTGTAGAAACTGCAGGAAAATGCGACTGCAAGCTACGTAAATGCATGAAGCCACCCCGGAAGTCCATATCTCACAGGCAAAGCACCAAACGACCTTCTCAGAAGCATGATTTGAAATGCCCGGCAGGTTGTTTGGTTGTGAGCGCCAACAGGGGCTCTGGAACCATCAGGCAAGTCTCAGGAACTGTTAGAACTCTGTTCAGAAATAGCCCCAAACCGTCCGGAACCGCTCCGAAGCGTCGGAACCATAGTGAAGTGCCAATCTGGGCTTTAAAGTTCGAAGGACCGAATAGGTCTCGAGATTGATGTCACGATTCTTGAGGCAAGGAAACGCAAGGAGAGACACCGTCTATTAAACAGACCACCAGCGCTTCCAAAGCGTGATGCTTGCATCCCAGTGTCGGTCGGCTATGTTCTCAATCCGGGCATTCAGCATCTCTGACCTGATCAGACCAAGTACGGAGGAAGCAACCAATCTTTGGCTCCTTTCTTGCATGCAAGGCTTCGGCGCTCAACGTTCCAAACACCCGGGATCTAAAGAAACATCCGCCTTTCGCGGAATGGATGTCAAAAGCGAGACTCAGGACCACTCTCTGTTTTTGTTCGTTTGGTTGATGACAGGTTGATGCTAGAGGTTGCAAGGTGGTGGCACGCTGTGGCTGTAGCATGTTGTAGTCAGGTCTACACTTGTGGTTGTGGTGATTGTGGCGGCCCTTCACTGCGTCCAGTCAAGACGGACCAGCGGCTGGGACTAGACTCTGGGAGCCAGGCACACGCTCTTCCAAAGCAGCACCGAGACGGTCCACCTGGCTCTCGGCGCCGTTCAAAAGCTGTGTCTCTGGTACAAGACATCAAAACTTCCTGGCCACTTTCACACAAACCGTAGCTCCGTAGCTTAACTGTCAAACTGCAGTTTCAACCGACGCTCCGCCTTCTCGGCGGAAGTCAGTTGCCTATCTCTCCTCTTTGGTTCCGAAGGCAAAAGACCTGGAAAAAGCAAGCAAACCCAGCCTTCTCTTGCGTGTGCTTGGTCACTTTCGCCTCCCAGGCTCCGGCATGGAAAACGGCGGGGGGGGGTGGGGATGGTATACTATAGGGTTCCTTTTTTTGCCTCCTGCATAAAATAATTTCTCAAGTTTAGCACACGCTACAGCCCGAGATCGACACCAAGGTATTTTGCAAACTTTCACCTCGCAACCACCCATAGCTCCGGTGTTGTTGGATTTCGAGGCTGGGCGTAGGCAACGCCAAGGGTGTGCTCGGATAGGCCTCGATCTCCTCCAAGGCTCCGGACAGCCGAAGAGCCACGTGGCCTGGGTTTTGCAGACGCTTGGGTACTGCTTTCAAGGCCATGTAGGTGGATGAAACTCAGGGGGCAAAGAGGAGTTTGGAATTTTTTTGCGTCAAATGTCGAGCCAACGATTTAGTGAAGCAAAGCATGTACTCTCCTGCCAATACCCAAACGTCCTCCGTTGGATAAAGAAGAAAAACTTGATGACACTCACACCCAGGCATTCTACAAGGCCTTAGGGAAAGAGCTCCCATCTCTAACCGACAATCGGCGCCTCGCTGACACCGAAACCCCTTCTACTCCTCCTCAAATCTATGTAGTTCCCTATACAGATGGCTCTTGCCCAATGACCGTGGAGTCTCTCCTGACAACCCCGCTGGCTGGGGATTTGCTGTTACTAACACTATGAAATCCGAAGAACCCTCTCAACATATCCTGTGGGAGTTTTCGTTCGGCCCAGTTAAAGCCATGCCAACAGACACTCACGTTTTGCCCGAGGTTTGGGGCTCCAATAATACCGGTGAACTCAAAGCCCTGATTGAAATTTTTGTTCACTATGCCAATCCCCCCTCTTTGAGTCCGTTCAAGCTAAAATTCTCGGTGTTCGTAGCGGTGTGGGGCTTGGGTATGGTTTGAGACTTCGAAGATTCAGGATCTCCCGCGAGGACGTGCCAGAGGAAGAAAAAGAAGACGCTCGGTATTCCTCTGCCTCCATTCTTCTGCATCGTTGCAGAACTCGTCTGTTCAATCACACAGCATGGTTCCAGGACATGAGCAGTCTGCAGAAGTCTGTCTAGTCGACTCGTCGATGTTCAGGCGTTGGCGGGCACTCTCCATCTCGGTCATAAAGCTCATCTGTGCCTCGGCAGGTCCGCCATGAATACCGAGAACTGGTGCTTCAAGTTGCTTGCTGCTTTTGCTCGCCATGGCAATTCGAAAACGGAGACATGGTGCCCCAAAACTTCCAAGACCAAAAAGCAGGTTCTACGGCACCAGTGAACCAGAAGAAAGCATAAACTCCGCCTCTGATCTCACTGTCCGGAAGGCGCACTCCAACTCCTGGGCCACATTCCATGCATGGCAGCTCGCAGCCCACATCGAGAAGAACTTACGAACCATGCAGCGGCCGGCGCTACAAGAAGATACAAGAATAAGAAGCACACTGCACGCCTAACCCCAAAACGTCATTGCAGCAAGCAAGAACGAGATCATACTAGCGTACATAGGCGATGGGTCATATCATATGTTTTAGCATACCTTATGTACTATATGCTATATTGTTATATTTTGTGTTTTACCATATCATGCTCTGTTATATTATGGCATAGTACAACATGTCCTTTTCGTGTCAGACTACGTCATAACATACCATTGCGTCTCATACCATCTCAAAGTAGACCACATCCCATCTTATCACAGCATACCACACTATATTGTATTTTGAAAACGCTCTACTATTGTTGCGCGATTTATGCTGCTTTAGCTCTACTGCTTTGTACACCCTTTATATTACATATAACACCGTACACATTCTATACTGTAGTTTACGAGCGAGAGCGAGGGCGTGGGCGAGGGCGGGAGGGAGAGAGACAGGGAGGAGAGGGAGAGAGGGAGAGGGAGAGAGAGATATGTGATATATTTTTGGCTCCCACTTGGCTGATCCCACATATACATATATAGATATATGTATATATGTATATACATACATGAGAGAGAAGACGGAGAGCCAGAGGCTGCGCCTTGGGATCGACGCCGAGGCTCAAAGCTGGCCGGAACACCTGGGGCTTCGGGAGCTTGGTCTAACCTACCGGTCCTTGCTAGAAAGGACCAACTGGTAGAAATTGGAGTGGAGCAAGCCACCGCTTCGAATTGGGAAACATTTCAGATTACAACCTGTTGTCGCCTTTTTCATTTTTATTATTACTCTGCTTTTGCTGCTGCTGCTGATTCTTCTTCCTCTTCCTCTTACTTATTCTTCGTCTTCTTCCATCTCTGCCGCACTTGCTAGGGCATTGGCTTCGTCACAAATCCGTTGCTATTTCCTACAGGAAACGTACGAAGCAACGAGCGCATTCTGAGCCACAGGCTTCCAGGATCGTTTTGACATCACGCTCCTTTCGGCTCCGACGCCACTGACTGCATACCAATCGTTGTCTAAGGTGCAAGCCTGCAGGAAACCCTGCGCTAAGAACAGGGGAACAATTCAACAAGAGAATTGAGCAGCACCCATGGCCCATGGGTCGATGTAAGGACAGTGCAAAACGGCTCTATCGAAACGAAACAGCCCGAGGTTCCTTCTGCTTTGCTGTCCGGGCAAAGGGTGGGGATCCTTTCCAGAAAAATGTGCCTTGTCGGCCAGCAGGTCACCAAATGTTTGGTATCCATTGGTTTCTGGTCTGGGGATGAGACTGGTTGACATGAGAGAGGCACGCTCTCGTGCACAAACTTTCCGCGACGCTGCTCTGCTGCTCTGCGATGAACCAGAAGTCCACCAGCAACAGGCAGGAGGAACCGGTGACATCCAAGCGCTACTGTATTTGCATTGCAGTATCCACCCTGCTCGAAATTATGGGGGGATTTTGCTTTCAAGCGCACGACTGTAGCACTTGCCACCCTTGTGGGCGTAATGATGGACGGTCATGCAAGCTCCTCCTGGCCCCGTCGGAGCCCAATCAATTTCAATGTGTCGTTGATGCGATGCACAGACAACGCACGCGCACGTATGCACATGCACAGTCACGCGGAAGCGGGCATGCGGACTTATGTTTTGCTTCGGTAACACAAGCTCCCCCACATCCCAGTGATTCTACGGCTGCCTCGCTGGCCTCAGCCAACTTCTTCCGAAGGGCAGCCTTCGGGAGCCATGGTTCGGGTTCGGCGTTTGTTTGGCTGGATCCGCGAAGTCGGCTTAAGGGCTGACACCGCTCCGTGCGTGACCCCCACGCCTGCGATCCAAACTGAAACACAAGCCGAGTTAGAATTACGGATTTACTAAGGGATATTGGGGTCTCTGTGGTGCCCAGGAGTCCAATGTTTGATGGCCGGTCCACCCCCAGGCATTCCTCAACGTGGGCTTGCTGACCCCTAACAAGCCCCTCCGAATGTGCGACACCTCTCCATTCCAAGTGTCTCGGCACCGATCTGTGTGGTTGGTTTCTTCAGCTTTCAGCTGTCTGCGTCCCACTGCACTGTGAGGTCTGAGCGGATGGGTACTAGTCGCTACACGTCATGCCAACACAAGTACGGCACAATGTCACAGCCTGCTTCCTCTCGACAGATCTAATTGTAATAATAATAGTAATAATAGTAATAATAATAGTAATAATAGTAATAAGAATAGTAATAATAGTAATAATAATAATAATAATAATAATAGTAATAGTAATAATAATAATCCCCCGCCGGCGGCCTTCTCCTCTTCTTGATCAGCCTTCGCAGGGTAGCTCCACGAAAGCGTCAACAAAGGGACCGTTTTTGAATTCGACTCACCAGCACAAGCCGCCTTTCTGCATGCTACATAGAGTTCCTAAAGAGAGACTCTCGCTTTGATCAAAGCAAAATCTCTAGAGAGCCCGTAAGGCTGTAGGACTCTAGGATTTAAAAATAGACCCCAAGGTTTTCAGTGGATCGTCAAAGTTTGATTGGAACCGTAGGGCGTAAGGAATGAATCTCAACAGGATTCGGAATCTTCCGCCCGGATTTCTCAGTCTCAGGCTTCACGCCTGGAAAGAAAACCCGAAACCCTACGCAGTCGAATCAATCACTGAACCCCGAGCCCCCCGTTTCGCAGCCACACCAAGAACTAGGGACGCGAATTTAAGCAATTTAGACCAGCCCGATGCTTTACAAGCCATTCTCGGGAAAGAGCCTCTGGAACCGGTGCTGCAGAAGGCGAAGGCGCCTCACGATGCGAACAGCTAGGATTTTTGTGGGCACTCGCACTCGCACAATCCAGGCAAGGCCATAACGACAGTGAGACATGACAACGAGATGCCGTTCCTAGACTGAAGATCAACAAGCACACTAAAAGTAGGAGTTGGGGTAGCGTGTCGGGTTTACAGTTCGGAGAGGTTTAGATTGCCAGCAAGACCCCCGAACCCTACAAACCCTGCACTCGAAGGCCGAACGTACGAGAAACGCTACTATTTCGCAGCGCAAACTCTCGGAGAAGCCACCTCCGCACCCGGTGCTTCGGAAGGCACGGGGGAGACCTGGCAATGCAAGCAGCTCGCGGCTCAGAGGTGTTAAGGCTCTGCACGCCTATGGTTGCCCCTCTTGACGGCAAGCGTGGGTTTTCCCCTCCTACCTGGCAAGGACATGCCCTGCGTGGGTTGCAAGCTTGGGTTGCATCGAGGCTTTGGGGGGCTGAGAGTTCCTGCGTTTGGCTCTCCGCCCTAGCGCTAAAGGAGTGCGCTGGAGTTACTTGCCTGGTTTAGTCTGGTGTGGAACCGAGTCTTGGGCTATTGAATGCTGGATTCCTACTCCTCTGGTCAGCGGAGCATCCGCCGTTCGGATCTTCAGAAAAGCCGGAGCCTCCACCCTGCCAGGATCTTTTCGGCGGATGAGAGGGATGCAAAGACCACAACATGAGCAGCAAACCTGATGATAAATCCTACAGCACTTACAGCACTGCACTCTGCGAGTAGCAGAAAGAACCCGCTTGGCCTTCTGCGCAGTATGCGGCTTTATGAAGATCCCATACCTGCCAGGAGCAACTTGAAACGTGGAAGCCTGGCAGAACTCCAAGGGACTAGCACAGCAAAAGACCGGAAGGTGCATCGGCGGACAGCATGGAGGGTGGGCACCCGGGTTCACATTGGAAGTAAGACTTCCCTTTCACGCTTCCGTCGTTCTTGCCAACCTGCACAGCCAGCCATCAAGATCGGCGAGACGTGACTAGACGAAGCAAAACGGAGGCAATTAGGCTTCTGGCCTTCTCTTCGAGCACCACACCAAGCCACTCCTGGCTGCAGCTGCAAGGCGTGCTGACACAAACTCGGCGCATCAGCTTGTATACCCCGAAAGTCCCCAAGAGCAAGAGCGCAGCTTTGGGTATCCAAGCTGCATCTGGTGCAAACTCCGTCTTGCCCACGAAGCGGACAGTGCCGAAACAATTCTCCTCTGCCAGCAAGCTCCGAAGCGGAGAAACAAACAAAAGAAACAAATTAAAAGAGATTTGAAAGCCCTTCCCTCTACATGCGATGATACAACTGCATCCTGTACAACTCTGCAGCATTCTGCGGCGGTCCTGCTTGGTTGGACTGATCTGGTGCTTAAAGCTCACGCGATCGCCCACTGAAAACATGCTCCTGTCAAAGAGCCCGCACGTGGAGAGGTCGCTCAGCATCCCTGTATCTGACGGTCTGATCTACTTGCCACGCCTTGCGTCGATGACTGGGCACAGCAATTCAGGAAGCTGTCACAACAGCTAAAACACGACGAACGTCAACACGACATAAACTGTACTTATCAGCACTAGCGGTACTGGACAGTGTTGGGCGAGTAGGTACAAGTACCAAATAAAGCACGAAAACGGTGCGAGTCCGTTCTGATCCGCCCAACTGCTTTGGCCCAGGCGCTTGGGCAAAAATGGCGGATCTGTAGGAAGCACATGAACACGGCGACACCATGTTGTCTAAGGATGTGCGAATCTGCAGTTGATAGCGGGGCGACGAAAGCTAGAAGACAAATAAGGATCAGCCTCAACGCACCGCCAAGCAAGCAAGAGAGAAAAAAAGAAAGAGGAAGTGAAGCGGCCCGGGGAGCAAGTAAGGGCAGGAGCCAAGCAAAACACGATGGCAGATGCGATGTATGATGGGGCTAGGGGCTTCTGTATACACACCCACGTATATGTATATGTATATGTATATGTATATATGTATATGTATATATGTATATGTATATATGTATATGTATATGTATATATGTATATGTATATGTATATGTATATGTATATGTATATGTATATGTATATGTATATGTATATGTATATGTATGTGTATTTATATATATATATATATGTAACAGAAAACCTGTGTGCATATCTACATATGGAGACATGTATGTGTAGATAAACATGTACTTAGATACATATTATGTAAATATGTTTTTTGGAGAGCGGCCTGCCATGGGGGCTGGGTTTTTGGAACTCCACTGTTTTGGCAGAGCTGGCTCAACAACTACCGTAACCATGGGTTCGTAGCGCGATGCGCATATATAGACACGCATACATATCAAGTAGTCTGGGACGCTGGATGACATACTCCTCGTTGAAATACCTTATAGGCATCGAGTCCGCAAGCGAAGCATGCAAAGCGTGCAGAGGGTGCATCAGCATTTGTGGCACGTCTCCTCTCGACGATGCAACTTCTCAGACGTTACTTGCTGGACGCTTCATGGATCTCAGCCTCAGTCCACTCGGTCTGCCGACTGTGCATGTTTGACCGAGGCCCGTGGGAAAGGATGAAATTGAAGACTTCCTTCATACTCGACATGACGGACGCTTCTTCGAGCAGTCTTCTGGTATTTCATGCCACAACTGTATGCATAAGACTTTCAGATGATGTCGGTGCGGGGAGAGTTCATTGAGAACTCTAGCATACTGGCGGAACCGCCCTGTTCCGCTGCCGAACTGCTTACATGAGCAAAGCGACGGGCAAGGCGACGGACATGAGGGGGATTGCAAGGGCATTGGTCACTGTGTTTGGCACTGTGGCAATAGTCGACACACCTGTAAATAGCCCACCTGCGCAAACTTCGATGCATGAGGAAGGAAGGCACAAGCCCTGTCCATACGACGCCGTCGAGCAGCGGGTACTTGGGGAGGAGCCGCTTGAGGATGCCGTCCGTCACTTCATTGCCCTCCGGCTGCCACAAGGTGCGAGGATCAACGGCCATGAACCAGCCGTAGCCATAGGGCTTCTGTTTGCCGTTCGCCCGAGTCTTTCCGGGGTGTTGCTTGTCCACGGAGTCGCATTTCACATGCACCTTAGCATGGCCGTCGCGGCTTCGATCGATTGACTGGTGGCCTCGTGACCAATGGCACAAGTCATGGGGATCGATGCGGCCGGATACTCACTGATAGCGATGAAGTACATTATCACGGATCCATGGACATAAGCGGCCCCCTCCAATGCAGTGCTCGAAGTCGTATATGCTTCTATACACATCGAGTGCTGCTCCAGCCCGGAACTCCAACAGCATGTGGAAGCGAAGGTAGTTCGCCGTGAAGCCAATCTTGTGACTGAGAAATATAGCCTCCCCGGCAACATCTACATCTGGTAGGGTGTTGATCGTTGCACTTTGATCCATGTAGAAACTGGGGCCATACGTTCTTCTGCAACAGTACGAGGTACAGCGGATGGTAACAACCGGGACCCTCTCAGCACCGGACATCCTGTAGAGAGTGGCATCGACTTTGTGAGCTTCTGCAAGGTTTCCGTTGCACAAACACCTGAAGAGATGGGAGCGGAAGATCCTTGAAGTGCTCTGGGCGGCAGGACGCTTCACGCTGACTACCGACTACCGACTACTGCAGCGATGGCGATCTACTCCAAGGCGTGGCTGAAGAGAAGACAGTACATGCGAGGCATTAGAGCTCGATGGCACGGAACCATCAAAGGAGTGGCGACTGATGCATGTTTCGGCGGGGGATGTTCTCGCACTGGCTTCACTGACCTGGAGTGATGCAGGGATCATATCAGCGACAAGCTCTGTGCTTAGCCTCACTCAGAATCTGAAGTGCTTAGGTTCATTCATCCTCACCAGGGTGAAACATCTACTCGTGCATGTTACGAGCAGCCTCCTCATCCGAATCATGTTCAAGAGCAGCACGGCCTGCTCCACTTGATGTTGCTTGAGCTGAGCATTCTATCTCCAAGGGCATGGACGTCTTTGTGGTCACTCGCCTTTACTGCCATGGATGTTGAAGGTTCCGAGCCTGCGTGGCGGATTGGTGCAAAAGACGGGTAAAGTTTCTGGATGTGGCGTTGGTACTCGATTCTCTTCATCGGTTGATGCCGATAATGGCATAATAATCCTCATCGTAGATCTCAAAGTGAATTGCTGCACCCACTCAGAAATTGCGTTATTGATGTCACGGAGGTACGTTTCGGGGCGCCTCTCGAAGAAGGCCTTGTTCCCATTCGACATCCAGTTCAAAGGTGGGGTGAACCATGGACGACTCTTGTCCTCAGCGATCTCACTGGCGGCCACCGAACGCACACCGTCGCGGACCAAGTTCACATCAGTGTATCTGCTGCTACACCTTTGGTCCTCGTCAGCCGTCAACCACGACTTGAGATCGGCTGCGTCGATCCTATCCATGGACGGGTCGTCCAAAATGAGGCCTTCTTTTTTTTGGTCTGTCTTGTGACTAAGGTTGTCGATTCCTTTGGGTCGCCGCCATGCCGGCGGGATTGCCTTCAGTTCCAGCCGACGGATATGATAGCGACCCATGGCTAGACAGAGCACAATTCGTAAGGGGTTCTCGCCCACCCCTGGCCATCCGAGTGTTAGTACACCATAGGACGCATAGGAAGTTAGAAAAAGTGCGATCAAATGCGCCAAGAACTCTTTCCCTGCCACAATGGACTGGATAAGATCGCGGACATCCGGTGGAGTCGTCACGCCTGCTAGCTACCCGTGAAACTTGGAAACAAATGATTGTAGCTATAGCTCGCTTGAACCAAAATCTGAAATATTGCCGATTGCTGCTCGCGAACGACAGTTCTAAGGTTGGCTCTAATGGTAAAGGGTTAACTGAACTGAAAACCCTCCAAGTTGCCGCGACGTGCAGCCGAGCCACCTCACGCGAGCTTGATACTGATTTCTAGGCTTGGGACGGCTACAGACTACTGGATTGTTAGTAGTACTTTCCAGACCCTAGCAATATTGAAGTTAAGTATCGAATATTGAAGTTCAATATGACCCGGGCAGGGAACCAAGAACAAGATTGCCCCCAAAACTTTTTGGAGCAATCTTGGTTCTTGCTTCCCGGGCCTTGGCAATATGGAAGTTTCTATTTAATATTGAAATTCAATATGAAATATTGAACTTCTATATTTCTATTGTTGGTTGTGGGCGACGCCGTGAAAACCGCGAGGCCGATTGCTTCTGGTTATGGGGGGCGCTGTGGAAAACTTTACATCTTTGCTTATGGGGTGCGCCATGGAAACGTGCAAATCGAGAGGTCCTGGTTACGGGCAAGGGAACTTTAAGCAATGGGTGTGCAAAAACCCAGGCACCATGACAGTCCTTTCTGTATGCTCATATATGTATGTCTGTGTGTATGAATGTATGTATGTATGTAAAAATATGCGTGCAGAGGAAAAAAGGTATGTGTATGCGTGTATGTGTGTATATACATAGGTATGTACATACATACATACATCAATTTCTGTCGCTCGCACTCGGCAGGCATACATACATACATACATACATACACAAATACATACATGCATACATTCGTGCGCACATACACTAGGTATACATGCAAACTTTCATGTGATTCATATGATTCATTTTCCCTCTCGCCCGGCTCAAGCTGCGTGGTAAAGACCAGCCAACTCTCCCTCGGAACACTACCTGGCGAAGCGTGCACACGTCATGAACCAAATTGGCGAGCATCCAAGCGATCTGACTCTACAATCGCCGGGCACTGCAACTAATTAAGTGCCCTATGAGAGAAGCTCGTCGGTGGCAGCCGCAGCAGCACAAAAGCAAGCCACGGGAAGCGTACGCCAAACACGCACCAGTTGCAGCCCCAGTGAGCACTTGACGACTTCCTGGTCGTACGGGTAGAAACAAGTGAAAGCTTACGTCCTTCTGGAATCCGAAGCGGCCACAGTGAGCACTTGATGACTTCGTTATAGTACAAGTAGAAGCAGCTCACGGCTTATTCCTGTCTGGAATCTGCTGCAGCCACAGTGAGCACTTGATGACTTCCTGTCGTACAGGTAGGAGCAACTGCAGCGAGCACTTGATGACGTCCTTGCCGTACGAGTGGAGGCAACTCGAAGCTTATATACGCCTTGAAGCCAGTGAGCACTTGACGCCTTCCTCGTCGTACGGGTAAGCACTGCAGCCACAGTGAGCACTTGATGACTTCTTGTCGTACGGGTAGGAGCAATGCGTGTCTATAGATATATATATATATATGTACAGATACGCTCAATGCCCTCCACCCAGCTCCATTCTTGTGAGAAGTGGGTCATAGGAGGCGGGCAGCCTCAGGTGCGAAAAGCATCAGCAATGATCAATTTTCTTTATATGGGGACTGCCGGGCAACCGAAACCTGATTCGGGT